GTGAAAGATTTTTATGTTCGGACAATGAACACTCCACAGAACAAACACAAGAAGAAGCGATGTAAAATAATAAATACCGATTGGTCTTCCCATGTCTTTGGGCAACACTTCGAAACTTTTTGGAGTGTGGGAGATGTCGATATTGACGCTCAAGCCAGTATATACTGATCGGATAGTATTCCTCCAAACTTTGAAACTCTCCCTTGTAATTCCAGCTTTTTATTTTTCTGACAAAACAAAATTCTTTTATGTATTTGCGAGACTGTCGGGTAGGCACTTGTTAAGTTTTGTGTCTGTTTTTCTTTTCGAAAGATGAGAGTATAATAACAAAGGTAGAGAGTGGGTAGAAGATGCCTAATGTTGCTGGGCAGTATGGTGTGAACAGGTCTACAGTAGGCTGCAGTTCAATCTTATTTAAGAAAAAATACTGTATAATCAAGAAGACTCAAGCAGCTAAAGGAGTAACAAAAATCGCATCTGAGAAATAAAGAACATCATCAAGTTCATAATGGAACCTGAAATTGATCTGACGACAGAAGAACGCCAAGAACTCTTGAATGAAGAACACCAAGGAACTCGGCGAGATATGTTTTCTTCTGAAAAAGAGGATTAATGCCGATATCTGTTATTAAAGATCCTTTGAAGAGGTGGGAGGATGTCAGAACAACAGTTTTAGAATGTCATCCAAACCAGGTTGAGGCTTGGGGATCTCTACAATTGCAATGCTATTAATTACTTGCGAAAATCTCGAAGAGAGAAAAGCAATTGACATTAGACAGATTCTTTAATCCTTTCAAACGGAAAAAACATTACTAATAAAAATGCAAGACTGTGTATGTATGTATTTTTAGTATTTGTAAAACAAGCACACAAATTTCCCATTATTCTTTGCTGATTTGTTAACACACATTACTAAATGGTGCTAATTTTCAATATGGAAGCCTCTATGTGAAATGTGTTCAGCTATGTGTAAAGGGATTTTTTTCTTTTTACTAAAACAATATGGATTCTTCTAATAGCAACAAAATTAGAAGCAAACAGGTAACTAAAGGACAGAAAATAACTTTGTAATTTAAATATTTGGAAAGATAATGAAAGAAAATGTCAAATATATGTAGAAAAATCTTGCATGTCTTCTTCCAGAAAGGAATTTCAGTAAATTAAAGCTTGTTGTAAAAAGAAATGCTTCATTTTATTAAGAAGAATTCCTGCTATGTTCCAAAATCTATGAAACCCAAATTCCACCTTAGAAGAATAGAAGTTTCTGTTTTGTGAAATTTTGGAACATAGGTGATAAATCAATTTAAGATGCAATATTGTTTTGAAGCATGCCCATGAATGAACCTCAAAAGCATAAAACAGTTTGCAAAATTAAACGAGAAGTAAACTGAGCAAAGTGAAATTCAGGATAGTTTATAGTTAGGAGACAGCTAGAGATATAAGTGGAACAGTTGTTAGTATAATGAATTAAGCAAATAGTCACATTTAATAACATGAAAACAGGGTGTATCTTTCTTGTTCATGATTAAATGGAACAAAAGTATGCAAAGAAAAAAGCAACTTTGCTTTTTATGGGTAAAGTTTTATAGTTCATGGAAAGTGGGACTTAATTGAAAATAGTTTGTTGGATATACAACAGTTTATTAACATAATTAAAATATGTTTTAAATTTATCTTGTGTTTTGAAGTAGCTTACATAATTTTAAGTGAAAATCAATTTTTTTTTAATCATTTTTGGCAGGTACAGATTGTATTATAATAATTATTATTAAATACAGTGACAGTGAAACCTGCTAATGTGACCACCAAAGGGATCAGCTGAAAGTGGTCACCTTATGCAGAAAGAGGGATTTAGGTACTTTTGAATGAAATCACTTAAGTAGAAATAAGCAAAAGGTTTGATTATATGAAATTTAATATTAAATAAATAAATAAATAAAACACAAAACAATTGAATATACAGTATTCTAAACAAAAACTCAGAGAAGAAGAAAAAAATGCAACAAATTCAATTTTTTTGTGAGACACTAGTCAATTTTGGATTGCTTTAGAATTTTGTTTTTAAAAGTTTTCATCAGCTTCAATTTTTTTTTTTTTTTGCTTGATGTATTGGCATAAGAACCCCAGGACAGTTAGTAATCACATAGCAAGAGGCTATTTTCTCTAGCATATTATAAATTTCTTTGTGGTATAAAGGCAAGGGCTTCTCTTTGTTATGATACAGACCTCCTTTATCTTCACTATTTTCATTCTTTCCCTTATTGAACTCTTTTAGGACACTTCCAAAAACATTTTCCAAATAAACGGATTCAGCGGTCACACCATCACAATCACAGTCAATAAATTTGTTCTTTTATTTAATATTTCTATTTTTAGTAAACCACTTCAGAGTTAAAAAATTGATATTGTCAAATTCAGTTGCCCTCTTCTTTCTACTCATATCTTCAGACTCAATTTAAAACTGATCTAGACACTCACACTTCCTCTTTTTGATGTTATTTACAGTTGTCTTACAAACTCAACTACTCAGCTGTTTGCCTCTCACTATGACTTTCTAAACAGTGGATCGTTTTCTGCCAAATATTTAGCTCTTTGTATCCTTTCTTCACTATTCTAAAAGTTAATTAAGTCAGTGAGTGAGTTGTTAAAAAAAGAAAGAAGAAAATGAATTTTACCTTTGAATTAAAAATTCACACAAAGAAACTTAACAATTAGCAAAGAACATACAAAACTAGCTAACTTTACTAGACAAAGCCAAAATATAAAACATTCTGATAAGAGAAACCTCAATAGTGATCTAATGTAATCTCTATCATAACAAAAATTTATAAATTTGTCCCCAGTGCTGCTGCTTAAAATTGCACAGTGCTAGCACATTTTTAATTTATGATACAGATTATTTTTAAGTTTTTCAAACTGCCATTTCTTTTACTCAAGCTTTTAAAATAAAGATTTAAAAAGATTATAGGAAATTTAGTTTAAACCCCTTATCAGAAAGTAGAATGGTTTCAAATATTTTATATTTGTGATGTGATCACTACAAATTGAATTACAGTGTGTGATCGGTTAATGAACAGATCGGATAACGAACACTTTCGTGAAAGATTTTTATGTTCGGACAATGAACACTCCACAGAACAAACACAAGAAGAAGCGATGTAAAATAATAAATACCGATTGGTCTTCCCATGTCTTTGGGCAACACTTCGAAACTTTTTGGAGTGTGGGAGATGTCGATATTGACGCTCAAGCCAGTATATACTGATCGGATAGTATTCCTCCAAACTTTGAAACTCTCCCTTGTAATTCCAGCTTTTTATTTTTCTGACAAAACAAAATTCTTTTATGTATTTGCGAGACTGTCGGGTAGGCACTTGTTAAGTTTTGTGTCTGTTTTTCTTTTCGAAAGATGAGAGTATAATAACAAAGGTAGAGAGTGGGTAGAAGATGCCTAATGTTGCTGGGCAGTATGGTGTGAACAGGTCTACAGTAGGCTGCAGTTCAATCTTATTTAAGAAAAAATACTGTATAATCAAGAAGACTCAAGCAGCTAAAGGAGTAACAAAAATCGCATCTGAGAAATAAAGAACATCATCAAGTTCATAATGGAACCTGAAATTGATCTGACGACAGAAGAACGCCAAGAACTCTTGAATGAAGAACACCAAGGAACTCGGCGAGATATGTTTTCTTCTGAAAAAGAGGATTAATGCCGATATCTGTTATTAAAGATCCTTTGAAGAGGTGGGAGGATGTCAGAACAACAGTTTTAGAATGTCATCCAAACCAGGTTGAGGCTTGGGGATCTCTACAATTGCAATGCTATTAATTACTTGCGAAAATCTCGAAGAGAGAAAAGCAATTGACATTAGACAGATTCTTTAATCCTTTCAAACGGAAAAAACATTACTAATAAAAATGCAAGACTGTGTATGTATGTATTTTTAGTATTACATATAAATAAACATAGTAAGAAAGTATATATTTTTTATTTTTGGGGGTCTTCAGAACAAATTAATTAAATTCCCATTAACCTGTCCTACATTGTTCCCGAAAATATTCGTGTTGACCTCGTTGACCTGTGTGGGCGATCCTGAATATTTTTGTGTTTACGTTGGAATGTTTTTGATACTAGATGTCGCTATGCGTCACGATTTTTATATTAAAACGAACTTTTAAAATATAATTTTTTTGTTTCTATATAATTCAATATATTTATTTTGTTTGTGAAACACACAAAAAAATAATTTTTTACAATACAGTAAACACGATTATCATTTAAAAAAAAAAAATTTAGGCTTAACGTCGACGAAAATTCAACATGGCGTCACAGGCAATAAATAAAAATTTCAGCATCGAATAGGTTAAAACCTATGGTAAATCGATAATCAGTTAACAGACAATTTGGATAGCAAACAAAGTCTTGGAACGGATTATGTTCGTTAACCGATTACCCACTGTATATTCTTTAAAATGGTTTTGTTTTTATGGTTTTTTTTAATGGTCACTTTACCCAAAATTTCTTGCCTTGGGATATGACCAAAGTGGTCAGTGGTTACATTAGCAGGTTTCTTAAATTAAACTGTAATTCAAATTTTTATCATCTTCTGTTAACTATTTCATCAAAAACAAAAAATTACAGATAAATTTTTAATATATATACATATACAGTTCTGTTAATTCAAATGACTGTGTAAGATAATTAGTTTTGATTAATAAGAATGAACTGTGTATTTATTTAATTTTCATCAATGAATAGAAAATCTATATATAGTCATCCTCCTTTAAACTGTCCCTCCATGTATCACCATCCTGGGTTTTCTGCCAAAAGTCTAAGAAAAATGATTTGTTTCATAATAAATTGAAAGTATAAACCACCACCCCATTTTCTGCCATCCATCAACCAATGTTATGATACTTTTATGAAAATAGTTTTAAAATTTTATTATTTTAAATTCTATATTATATTCATTTATTAATTTCTGAGTTATTTTCTTTAGAAAATGAAAGAGATCATGATCGTAGAGATGACAGATCAGATAGAACAGCTGGAGATTGGCGTGCTGGTGGACGAGATGAAGGTTTTTCAAGAGACGATAGGCAGAGAAATGGAACATGTAAATAAGTATACATTTGTAATTTATATAGATTTTTAATGACAAGGAGAAAGGCATAAGTGATTCAATAAATCAATAAAAAATTAAATATATTGGTTAGCAATAAATACTGAATGTTAAAATTATCATATTTTACATCATAAAAGACAAAACTTTTGTTCAGAAAATGAACTCTCTTGAATAACTCTTTCTTGTCTAACTCTTGAATAAAAATGTTATTGTTTGAATATACATAAGGATATTCAGGGAGAATTTTTGATTTTTGAAGATGATTAAAGTTTGTTTTTGTTTTTACTGAAGAGTAATGCTTTTTGCTCATTCTTTTATTGTGTTAAGTAAGACCAACATAGAAGTTATTTTGTTACCTGAGTATGATTTTATTTTGGCTTGCCATCTGTAGAAATGTTACATTATTCATATTATTTGGGACACCCTGTATATTTTGCTACAGTTAAGCAGCTTTTGCGTGTATTTATGTAGAAAGTTTAATGGCAAATTTTAATTGTAAATGATTTCTTTTAAACTCCTCTTTTTAATTTTACTTTTTTAAACCAGAATATGGTAAAAAAAAGAATTTGGCCACGTACCAAAGGCATGGAATGGCATAAATACACTAAATACTTTTCTAAATATTTTATGCTGAAATGAGGAAGGATCTTATATGCTATAAAATACAGTAATTGATTAAAAAATATTTTCAAATGTAGTGCAGGAAATTCTCAATTATGCAAAATTTGCATTCTAAATAAGTCATAGATATTTTAAATTTCATTTTATTTTCAATCAATATACTGAATTTTAATGTCAGGTTAACTCTTTACAACATGTAACACAGATATTTATCTAAATCAAAGAAAACTTTAATTAGTATAGTCTCAAGTATAGTTTGAGAGTGACCTTTTCTTCATTCTTTTAAAACTGGGAAAAAACACTGACTAATATTTGGGCCAATATGGTATATATTACATAATTCAATGAATGAAAATGAGAGAGAGAATTCAAGTGTGTTATGAATAAATCAGAATATTGTATGTTTTACAAAATATTTTAACTTAAAATTGGAATTTATTTAGGGTATGATAGAAATGAACGAGGTGGACGAAGAAGAGAGATGGATTCCAGAGATGATTTTGAATGGAGAAAAGATAGAGATAATTATAGCAGAAGAGATGATAGAGGTGGATATGATAGAAGAGAGAGAGGTTTTGACCGACGTGATTATGGAAATAGAGAAAGAGGTATGTTAAATATGTTTTTAATGCATGTTTATCTTTATTGAAGTTTTTATTCAACAAATATCATGTTATAACTAAAACTTAAAATTTTAAGCATATTTCTTTGCTTGTTCATTATGAATAAAAATTATAGATGATTATGAAATAAATTTATATGATATTATGATTTTTGAAATACAGTGGGTGATTGGTTAACGAACATAATCGATTCCAAGACTTTGTTCGTTATCTGAATTGTTTGTTAACCGATTATTGATTTCCCATAGGTTTTTATGGGAATTTGATTAATTTGTTGTGGAGACTCCAAAAAATAAAAAATATATACTTTTTTACTACATTTATTTACATGTAATAGTAAAAATACATATATATGCTGTCTTGCATTTTTATTAGTCATGTTTTTTCCATTTGTGGGGGTTAAAGAATCTGTTTAATGTCGATTGCTTTTCTCTTTTCTTCAGGATTTTTTGGAAGTAATTAATAATAATGTAAATTGTAGAGATCTTCAAACCCATTAACCTTATTCTGGTTTGGATGCCATTTGGATGATCTGACATCTTCCAACTTTTTCAAAAGATCTTTAGTAGCAGATGTTGACATTGGTCCTCTTTTGTCTTCACTTTTTCAAAAGAAAACACATCTCACTGAGTTTCTTGGTGTTGTTCATTTGAATGTTCTTGGTGTTCTTATGTCGTCAGATCAGTTTCAGGTTTCATTATGAGCTCTAAAAACCTCTTTATTTCTCAGATGTGGTTTTCATTACTCCATTAGCAGCTTGAGACTTCTTGATATATCTTTCATATTTCTCAGTTATTTCTCAGATGCGATTTTCATTACTCCATTAGCAGCTTGAGACTTCTTGATATATCTTTCATAGCTAAGATTGTGCCTACAGTAGACCTGTTCAAGCCATACTGCCTAGCAACATCATACATCCTTTCTACCTTGGTTATTATCTTTTACTTGGTTTCTACGGTGAGCACAGTTCTTGACGCGCCTCTTTTTAGGCTCCATAATATTATCAGTTTCTTTTTTAAATAAAAAGTTCAGAAAAGCACTTACAAAAATTCAGAGAACAGAAATCAACTAGCCCACAAAAAATTATTTAAATACAAGGCCCAGATGAAATTCAAAATTTGGTATTAAAATGTTAACAAACATTCTTTCACCTTTTGTAAATAAACCCCGTCAAAATTTAACAAGTACCTGTCCAACAGTCTCACGAAGACTATAAAAATTATTTGTCAGAAAGATAAACAAAAACCTGGAATTGCAAGGGTGAGTTTCAAAATTCGGAGGAATATTATCCAATTGGTATCAAGTTGAGAGTCAATGTTGCGTCTCCTGTGCTCTGAAAGGTTTCGAATTGTTACCTGAAGACAAGGGAAAATCAATTGGTATTCATTATTTTCTGTCACTTCTTTTTATGTTTATTCAGTAAAGTGTTTGTTGTCCAATCATAAAAATCTTTCGCAAAAGTGTTCGTTATTCAATTTGTTTGCTATCCAAACTGTTCGCTAATCAATCACCCACTGTATATACATATTATCTGATTTGATCAGTTACTTTCACTTATTTCTATAATTTTCTGTGGTGCATATAATCTGCAAAAAATTTTTCATTGGTTTGAAATTTTGCATAATGTTTGATGACAATATGTAGTAAAACTGATTATTCAAGATAATGTTAACCAGTGCTATTCCAGAGATAAATGAAAACTTTGAATAAAACAGATGGCTACAACCATTTTGAATTAAAAAGATACCACAACATTCTTTCTTTTCCTATTCATTATTGATATTCAATATGAAAAGTTTCAAAAATTTATGAAAGATGTAGCAACACTTATGACACACTTGCAGATATGACCATTGCTAATGACACACTGACAATAGTTTAATAAGACAGGAAGTGTGCACTTGGGGAAGAGTGAGTTACACAAACTCTCATATCATAGTCATCAGCTCCTTAAATGCTTGCTTAGCACAATCAAGATTAAAAGTACTAAGTACATTTATAAGAAAAGTATTCAGTAAATATACAGAAAAAGCTTTTATGAATAAAAATAGTATATTAATAATGCAAAGCCCCAATTAATAGGTACTTGGATGTCTGGCTTCTACTGTATGTTTGTAAGAAAGAAAGTGATGCTTTATTGTTGAGGCAGAGCATTGATAATGCTCTGCCTCAACAATGTAATCCAAAAATCCAATGGAATCCAAAAATGTAATGAGGGTCCATTTAAATGTAAAAAAAAATCAGGGTCCATGACTTCATTTTTGGTATAGGCTACTGTGATGTAAAAAACTACAATGTTTGTGCTCCTTGATGTAATTGAGTATGCCTAATAATATAATATTTCTTGAATGAAGATGAAACAAAAATAAAAATGAATGGAACCTTTTTGACAAGAGAAGAAACTAAACTGTATGTAACAACATTTCCTTTTTTTATTTTCTTTTCTTTTATTCTGTCGAATGAGGCAAACATTTATAAAACTGGATATGTTCAGGCAAATTTATTACCAGTGTTGGTCCAGATCAAAGAGTGATCAGGTTGTTGTACTTTTCTAATGACAATAGACAAGATCTCTTATTTAAGTTATTAAGTTGTTTTGTCAACAGTAGTGCATTTTGCCATTTTAAAGTTAACGATTGGTAGTTGTGATCAATGTGGCATCCATTGGTAGTTGTGATCAATGTGATCCATGAATTAGGTAGAATATTTTAAAAAATATTCTACCTAATTCATTTAAGTCTAAAAAATCATTATAACCTAAAGAGTGCACTATCTTTCTTAGTTTGCCTTTCTTGCAAGACAAAAGATAGTATAAGCTGAGAAGGCACAAACAATTCACCAGCCTTTTTAATTGCATATGAAATCTCACTGTGAGCAGAGTCTCCTTCACATTGTCCATGATTAGTGGTAAAGAAATGAAGACTCACTTCATCTAAGTGTTTCAACTGTGAAACAATGTATACAAGAATTCCTGCCATGATGGAATTCTGATTTTGTTTGCCACAACTATTGGCAAATAAATTTGGCAGTATGGAACTTCCTTTCATCATATTTCAGCAATGTTCTAAACAGTGCTGTTGATACTTCAGAAGCACTTTGACCACTTTCGTACTCATTTCAGGTAAAGCAATAATGGTTCTGGGAGGCTGTCATAAAAAGTTCAGTTATAAACCTTCTTTTGTAAAATACTGCACTGTTGTTTGATACAGGAAAGTAGATGACCTGTTGAAGATCAAAACATAAACAAAGCAAGCTGGGATCATTTTTAGCAGCAAGCTTGCAAGAGTTTTTGATCTCATGCACAGCATTTTTGGAAGCAATATGCTTGCTATAAATATCTTGCATTTTTTAGTTTTATTTCTTCAGATCCCTGGAAATATGCTTTGCATAAACCACACTGGTCCTTTTTGGGCCTATGAAACAAAAGATTCATGGATTTAAAAACTGTGGTATGATGTGAAACACAGTTTTCGAATGTTGGGATCCAGCTCTTCTAAAATCATAGTATACATTTTATTCAAAATCAAGTCACTGTGAAGATATTCCCAAGTGTTGTCTTTTTGGCAGTAATGTGGCTCCACCCTTTGGAATTAATTAATGTGATCTTCAATCAGCTTTTGATTAGCCTGAGCCCTCAATTCAGCTGCAGCACGTCTATCACCATGACAATCTCTTTGGATCATACTGATAATTTCAAGTTTTTCATGTACTGTTCTGATTTTTTCTCACTGATACTTAATATGTTCATGAATAATTTACAACACAGTTTGACTGTGTTTTCTTCCAATGGAAGGAAAAAGAAGTTTATATTTTGACAACATGATTCTGCTTTACCTGTTGTATATGCTTTCTTCAAAAGCTGCAAGTCACTTAATTGGTAGAATGCTTTGTATATGGCCTGACTACACACACTGCCTCCAGCCTTTTTCACACCACTCAGTATTGCACATTGGACCTAATACTTTCACAGTTTTCTTCATGTTTACTGAAAAATATTCTGTACCACTGGTCTGTAATGCTTGAGAAAGTTTCTTTTCATTTACCCTTGTAATTTTTTCTTGATCACGTTCCCTTGGAGTACCTTTTACTTCAAATTCTTCTGGCTTTTTCTTCTTTTTGTTTGAGTTTCTTCTTATGCTGTTGATTTTTATGCAAGTTTTCATTAGGTTTTCACTATAATAATCACTGATCCAATGAGTGTTACATGTAGGCTAATCCTCCATAAAATTGCAACAATGCCGAAGGGCCTCTTATTCTTCGGCACCACAGGACCGAAGGGTTGATGTCTTATCAGCAAAGACCACAATGACAAATTCATCAGGACTGACTCCACTGTATCTTCTGGGTAGACACATAGATCGTTACATTTGCAGGTACGCACGAGCAGTCACATCTGTGGAAGCTTAGGGTTGGAATGGAGACGGGGGGAGATACCCGGAAGAAGTGCACTCCCAGAGACTATTCATTTAACAAATATCCGTTTATTCAGAGAGGCTATTTACAAGATTTAAGACTGAGGATCTAGCTGTCTCATTAACTTGAGTAACCATCCAGGGGGAACTTATCATATCAGGAGAGAGAGAGCGAGCTTACAAAACTTTTGCGTGATGCCAAATACCTGGAGTTTGAGTAGGTCCTTGATGTAGGTTCATCCTTAGGCCCCTCCAAAGAGGTTCAGGATTTAATTGAGTTCAAGTGCTAGTTCAAGTTCGGTTAAGTTCAGGTGCTAATCCAAAGGTTGATCTAGGAAATGGTGATGGTGGAGCACCCTCACACATAAATAAGTTCACACTCGCAGACGGGAAAAGTCTCTGTTGTCAGTGTCCCCTCCTGTTTGTAAGGGGGTCTCTCTTGGGTTTTTCCCATGACTCAACCCAGAGATTTAGTACTTCGGGTCCAATGATTGAGTTTCACTTGTTACTTCTGAGTGACGCATACGAGGTGTCACTTTAAACAAGGAACTAAGTTCATAGAAAACATTTTAATCGCTGAGTCAGTCAACAATTTCTCGAAATGGAAAATTATGTTATTTCGAAGAACAAACATGTTGTTATAATTTATAATGATTTTATAATAAAAGTTTCTGGTAAATGCGGTTCTCACAAAATGTTTCCAGCACAAAAGAATCAAGCACTGAAAAAAACTGAAACCCTCTTTTTCAATGAGGAACTTCTCATGCCTGGACATATGTAGGATCTTGGCCACTGAGTTCAATATTGGAAAATGGATATTGTTCATTTAAATCATCTTCTGGAGAAGATAATTCTGCCAGCTCTGGTATCTCCTTCTGTCTAGTGTGACTTTGAGACATAGCAATATCTTTGTTGTTATAAGGATTCATGATACTTTAAATTCTGTTAATATGGGTATTAATTTTTCAATAACAGAATATATTAAATGTGTTGGTCATGTGGCTGGAAAAACATGGTGGCTTAATGTTTCATTTTAAAACATTTTCCTGTGGTCTCATCTCATTTTACCAAATTAGGGTATGCAGAAAGAATTCCACATAATTTCCAGGTAAGTTTCCAATGAAGAGGCAAAGTCTAGATACACCTTTAAAGTCATTTAAAAATGTAGTGTTTGTGGTGTCTCTCAAGAAATGTCCATAAGTTACATTTTCATCAGATATTTGAGAAATGCCTGGTGTTTATCATTCCATAAATTGCAAACAGTGTTACATAGAGATATGCTGCTCCATCACAACACGAAGGACTCGGGCTTATATTTAATGGCATATCTAACTCATTTTGGCCAAATTTTTTCACCAACAATGTAGGTACAAGGATCATTTCTTCCATGCCTAAAAAATATCATTTTTTTCTTTCTGGCTCAGTCTCAATTCTATTGCAATATGACAAAATTGCATGATATCCCAGATTTTTCTACAAACAATTGATTATTGAATGTACATACATTCTTTTTGCAAGCCATATTAGCCATATAAGTTATACTTAGTAGACATACTATTGAAAGTAATGACCTCTATCTCAGTTTAATTTGTTCTACTTTTTATATGGCATACATGGTATAGTGTGTTAAAAGTAGAACAGATTTCAACTTTAATATTTTACAGAGAAAATACATATGATGTCATTTCTAGGCCAAAACTGACACCCAACATGTTTGTCTTGTTTTATGCCTGTGAAACCAAATATTTAATTTTTCGGCTATTGAAAATATTTCTACCAAAATTTAAAATATTATTTGTAAATTAATAATTTATCAATTTCTAGATGCTCCAAAAGAACGACCAAGATTACAGCTAAAACCCAGATCTGTTCCTTTGGAACCAAATCCAACAAGTGTTGGATCATCAGCTATATTTGGAGGGGCAAAACCAGTAGATACTACTGCTAAAGAAAGAGAAATTGAAGAAAGGTTATCTAGACAGAAAGGATCAACAGAACCAAGACCACGATCTTATTCTGAAGATGATCCAAATAATATCAGTGTACCAGCAAAGACATTGGAAAATCATGTTTCTGAAACATCACAACCAAAAGAAACAAAAGAACAGAAAACAAAACAGAGTGGTGCATCAATGGCAACTGTTTTTGGAGATGCAAAACCTGTTGATACGGCTGCAAGAGAAAGAGAAATAGAAGAAAGACTTGCTAAGGAAAGAGAGGAGCAAACAAGAAAATTAAATCCTGATCAGGAAAGGTATGCAATTCTGTTTTGTATAAAATTTCAATAATTACTCTATTTTAAAGTGTAAAAAATATTAAAGATATGATACAATGAATAATGTAACTAAAGCAAATATACCAAATATAAATAAATAAAAAATGGTTTGAATTTCGAAATTGGTTTGTATAAAATCCATATTATTCTAAAACAATAAACATGATAATTTTTCTAAATCAGTCTTAAATAGAAATTTCCTTTGCAATCATTTTAATTTTTATAAAAAAATTGTAATTAATATCTTCATTCCCATTTTTAATACAATAAAATATAAATAATCTTAATACATCTTATTTCTTAATATATCAAGTATATAAATTTTTTCAATGTTAATCATGATTGAAAATATTTATATTTTAAATGTTGACTGGAAATTTATTTTGAGTCACTTTCATTTTCAGTTAGCTTAGTCCTGATTATAATTAAATAGGTGCTTAAAGAAGCATCTATGTTGGTAAGATTAATTTATTATTTAATTTAATATTTAGTATTTATCTTAATTCTTTGAAATATAAATGGATTTTATAATGTTTAATTTAAGTATGGAATTATGGAATTTTATTTTGAGTTATCTATATTATAATAAATCAAGGACATTGAGGCATATTAATTTATTTGGATATAGATTTTCTTTGTACAAGTCAGTTATGTTAAATAGTGATGTTAATCAACTTAGCTATGTTATTAATATGTAAATATTTTGGAAATTCATGTATTCTGTGTACTTTATATTAAGAGGTTAAGTCAAATACCATTAGCATAAATACTGTAAGAAGTTTTGAGATGCCGATAATTTATAAATAAATATGAGCAAATGTTTTTCATGTAATTTTAATGTTACAGAGTTTTTGAAAATATAATTTGAAAGATCATAACAAAAAGAAGCTAAATGTAAAAATTGTTATTAAAGTTATATTTAGCTTTTAATTTAAAATTTTTTTAAGTTTGTTTATTCAAATTGAATTTTCTCAATATAGAATTTCTTTTATTACCAGTTTAGTGAAGAATGAAAGTAGAATGATTAGAAATTAAATTGTAATAGAAATATAAATCCAATAATATTGTACATTACCCATGATTGTTACTAACCATTTAAAATATTGTAAGTAGACAAGCAAAAGTTTTTTTAACTTTTTCTGCCCAGGAGACACTAAGAAGGCTTTTAAACAAATTCAATATTGGTTTGGCCTGACCTACAATGGAAATGTCTGGATTCAGAAACATGGGGCAACATTTTCAGGACACAGCTTGAGGAAAGTTTCTGGGTTCCTGAATCAGACTCAAACCTGGGTCCTGTAGAGTGGCAGTTGATGTCTTTATGCCATCAACTTGTTAGATTAGAAAGTTGTTCTAGTAAACATTTTGATAAATTCAAAAATTTGCAGAGGTAATATTTAATTATAATCTAGAGATGATATCTATGACTACACTCAAACTAATTTCCACTATTCTGTTTTACTTTCCTTTCTAAAAAATGCTATTCAGAAAATACTGATTTTAAGTGCTTTTAACATTATCTAACAGAAATACATATAATAGAACAATAAATTTTATCGAAGAAGAAAAACAAAACATTGCAAATTATTCTGTTTAATTTTCCATATATCATCTATAAGATCAAAATGCTATATGTTTTTCTTCTTACACTGTATTATGAATATTAATCAAATTATATAAGGACCTTGAATAAGTTCTCGCTGTTCTTTAACAGATGGCGTTACCAGAACCACGTGTGTTTATTTTTAGATGGTGATGCATCTGTAAGAAAGTACAATAAGCGACCTTGAAATTCAGTATATGTCATTTCACCGAAGTGTAAACAACTTATTTTTTCATTGTGTTAAACATGTCTAGTTTCGTTCCAAAAAAAGAGTATTTACGGGGAATTTTATTGCACTATTTTATTCAAAAAAAATCTGCAGCTGAAGCACACAGAATTCTTGTTGAGACTTATGGTGCCCATGCTCTGTCGGAAACAACATGCAGAGATTGGTTTAGATGCTTCAAAAATAATGATTTTGATGTTGAAGATAAAGAACAATCTGTTGCACCAAAAAAGTTTGAAGACGAGGAATTAGAGGCATTACTTCATGAAGACTAATGTCAGATGCTAGCTGAACTTGCAGAATCATTAGGAGTTGATCACACAACAGTTTCGAAACGTTTAAAAGGATTAGGAATGATTCAAAAGCAAGGACATTGGGTGCTGTACGAGTTGAAGCCGAGAGACATCGAATGGCATCTTTTCACATGTGAACAGTTGCTTCAACGGCAGAAAAGGAAAGGTTTTCTGCATCGTATTGTGACAGGCAACGAAAAATGGATACACTACGATAACCGAAGCGTAGAAAATCATAGGATAAGCCCGGCCATGCATCAACATCGTCAGCAAGGCTGAATATACATGGTTCGAAGCTTCTGCTCTGCATTTGGTGGGATCAGCTAGGTGTAGTTTATTATGAGCTGCTCAAACCAAACGAAACCATCACGGGAGATCGCTGTCGACTACAATTGATGCGTTTGAGCCAAGCATTGAAGGAAAAACGGCCGCTATATGAGCAGAGACACGACAAAGTGATTTTGCAACATGACAATGCTCGGCCACATGTTGCACAACTGGTGAAAACGTACTTGGAAATGCTTAAATGGGAAGTCCTACCCCACCCGCCGTATTCACCAGACATTGCCCCTTCGGATTATCACTTGTTCCAATCGATGGCACATGGCCTGGCTGAGCAGCACTTCCATTCTTATGAAGATGCCAAAAATGGGTTGATTCTTGGATAGCCTCAAAAGACGTGTCTTTTTTCCAATGTGGAATTCAAATGCTGCTAGAACGATGGGAGAAAGTAGTGGCTAGTGATGGACAATGCTTTCAGTGACATGTTTATTACAACTTTTTTAAAATAAAGTGTTAATTTTCACAAAAAAACAGCGAGAACTTATTCAAGGTCCTTATATGTCTGTAGTATATTTCTTCGAATATTATGTATGGTATATTGATACTTGAAATTTACATTCATTTAACTTATTTAATTTTATTAATATAATTATTAACTATAATAGATATTAGTTTAATAAATATCAAAAAATATATTCATTTACCAACAATTATATAGTTACATTCCATCCAGAAATGCCTGTGTATAATGTGATGTGTGACATTGTCTCATCTTGCATGAATCACATATTCTCATTAGCATCCATTCCTTGAACAAATGGGATGAAACTTTAATCAGTATGCAAACATAGCAACTAGTAGTTACAGTTTCATCTTTAAATACTGGACCAATTATCCCCAAACTTGATATCATACACTAAATGGTAACACTTTGAGGATGAAGTAACATTTGCAGTGTGAAATGAGGATTTTCTGTGCTCCAAATTCTCAGTTCTGTTTGTTGACATCAAGATGGAAGTGGACTTTGACCATGAACCAAATTCTGTCCAGCTCCTAGTCTATCCTATATTGCCATTGATCATATTTAGAACTGTTCTTGTAAAGTTTGATCTTTGAGCCTTTGAACATTCTTTGAGTAGTTGGTGCATTTGAATTTTGTATGGGTAGAGAAGCAAATCATATCTGAGAACAGTCCTGACACTCATGGCTGATGCGTATTTCTTGGGCTGCATGACACAATGACCATTTTGGACTTTGTTTGTATAGTGCACTAGGATCCATACTGATTTTCTGATATCAGGAAATCAGAAAACCTGGAAAAGTTTGGAAATTTCAATAAATGGAAAAGTCAGGAAATATTTTTATTTCACAAGAATAAGTACTTTTTTAAAATAAACACTAATCTAATTTGCTAGTGTTTTAAAATTATCATTTCCACATTAAATCATTAAGGCCAAATAAAACCTTTAGCTTAGGCAATATGGAAGAGCTACTGGTATGGTCCATTTGAACAAACAAAAATTTCTAGTGGCCGTATAATAAATATTAGACATGAATTTTTAAAAATCCTATCATTATCCTTTGGAGAATCTTTAAGAAAAAAAATAAAGTCAAATTTAGGAATCTAAATTTTTGACTTTAAAAATTCCTGTAAAATTGAAATTGTAATAGATTTTCTTTTTGACAATTCCATTATGATATCTGGATGATTCACTTTTAAATATGTCCCTCATCTGATCATTCTACAATAATCAGAAGTCAAGATATAACTGATTTTGTCTTCTGATGTGTTAAGTATAGTAAAAACTTTAGTAGGCTATAAAGCTCCAAAAAATTTTTTTTGGGAAATTATTTAGTAAAATTTGTTTTCATGCCAAAATCCACCTTTATTATCAAATATGGTCAAAATTAAAAATAAAAGTGATTTTGATTTTTTTTGACTGACTGACTATTTTTTTTTTTTGTCAGGGAAATTCTGAGATTTTTATCTGGAAAAACCTAGTAAAATTGGGGAATTTGTCATTAAGATGGGTAGAACAATGCGTACTACTTTCAGCAAGTTTCTATTCAGATCTTGCTGTTGATAGACTGCTGACATTTTCCCTCAAGTCATTTTCTACACTTTCTCTTTATTCAAACTTCTGTATTAATTTGGCAGTTGTTTGCCATATTGGTCTCACTTTTATCTTATACTTGGTGCAGAATGCTCTTTGGACTGTTTCCAGGCTTCTGTTCATGTAATATTGTCAGACCATGAATCTGTTCTTCAAGATTCTATGGCACCATATTTACATGACACACAACACTGCAGTATGACTACTGATGCATGCATGTGCAGACTAATTTCCACTGTGTGTGCTGGAGTTACTTGTGGAGCTTGTATTTCTAAGGATGAGAGAGATTTAGGTTTCTTTCCATTATCTCTCTTTTTTACACCTTGTATGTATGAAGTATGTATAAAATAACTAATATTATTTATATAATTTATTATAAATGATAATCGATATGTAGAATGATATAACCTACTGGGATCGAACCAGTAAAGGTTGGACAGAGCATTTTTTGTATATATATTGTATTTAATATAGTACTAATTTGATTTGTGGATTCACTCATAGAAAAAATTTGAAATTGCTATTAAGTAATTAACAAATTATTATATAAACTGGTAATAATTTATTAATTAAAATTAAAATATATTTTATTTTTCATAGAATTTCTGCTACGCGTCCACCTACTTCTTCACGTTCCGGAAGATATGAAGGAAGATCGTCTTCAAAACAAGTAAGTCATTAATACCAAGATTGTAAAAAAGTTTTTAAAAAATAGGCACAGTTTTTTGCTTTGGGTTAAATAGTGTTTTAAATTTTATTTTTTTTAATATTCTGTGTTTACAATTTTTACAAAACTTGGAAATAATTACGTAAACAATGATTACCTGCTACCAGTGTAGCATCACCATTTCCAGTTCCCACAGCATCACATGCTGTGGGTAAATAAATTAGAAAATTTTCATTCATGAACTAACAAATTGTCAGAAAAAGAAAACAAAAGTGACAAGACGTCTCAGTTTTTAAAGTGAAAATATTTGTGATTGGAAAAACTGAATGTTTATGCCACTTTTCAGTTATAAATTTTAAACTGAGGCAAGAAGTTGTAAACATTTCTTACAATTTCTGTTCTTCGCCCAAAATGTGAGCAGTCAAAACAAGGGTCCTTTAGGGAACATTTTACTATAATAGCTCCTCTTAAAAAATGAAAAGTTTGTGGGTTAGGTAATGAATTTGCAAAGGGAACTAGTTTCATTGATTCAATGGATGAAAAATCATACAAAAATTTCATCCTGCAAAATTATCTGACAACAATCCTCTGAATACATTTCTGCTTTTGTAGAGCAGAAATGTATTCAGAGAAAACTGAAAAGAATATTGAATCTATAAGCCAACCAAGTTCATTGGTTAAAGTGCTCAACACCCTATAACAAAAAAGCCCAAAACTATACTTAGTAAATTTGTTGTTTATACCATCACTTATGGGAAAACAGGAACTGGATTTGCAAATCACAACATTTACATCATAAATTCTGCTTTCCATCACATGGAACTTGCATAATTCAAAACTATGATGAATTTTATCAGCCCCAAACTGTTCACAAATTGGAGATGAACTTCTGGATACTGTACACATTGAAATTGAGAGAAGCATCAAGACCAATCTGGAAAACAAAAATGATTGCATAGTGTTTGACTGCTGGAACAATGTCTGCCACAAGTCTATAATCTGCATTTCCATCAAAAACATGTCTGAGGAATTTATCTATCTGGTCAACATTGTAGATACATCTTCAAATTCACACATCTGTGTATCTCTTGCAGTTGGCACAATTCATGCCATCAATAATTGTGAGGAAAAATACAGCTACAAAGTTTACAGCTTCATTAAAGATAAAGTTACCAATATGACAAAGATGATTGACAGAATTCTTTTGCAATCATAAGAAATTTCTTGTTCTGATATTCTAGTATTGATACATGGATGCAGCACTCGTATAACCAATCTGCTAACACAATGAAGATTCCTGAAGTGTGAGAATACATGAAACAAGTTATGAAGTATTTCAATAATCACAACTTTGGCAGGAGAAATATGAGGAAGCAGAAGGAAGTTCTGTAATTTATCCTTTCCTTGACCATTTCTGCTGCCCATCTCCTAGCAAACCTACTTGATTCATGGTTCATTTGCAAAATCCTGTTCGGCAATAGGTTGATGTGATCTTGGAATACATCTGTAGTTTTCATTCCAGTCCATACCCAATGTTATTAGCTATCAGGCAAGAGCACAGCTTTTCAAAGATTACCTCTGAGAATGCCATAGATCTGTCAAGTCTCTGAACTGGCTTTCCTTGCATGGCTTGAATCGAGAAACAGTAGTTTTTGTTACCCAGTTGCATACAGCTACAGCTTTATCAGTCAGAATTGAATGGCTTTTTTCATCCTTTAGGCTTGTTCAATCCAAATTAAGAAACAGGCTCAGAACCAAAAAAGTCGCCAAGCTAGTGGAAAGTTTAGATATTTAAACAAATAAGTATACATCTGAGCAGTGGTGAATCCAGAAGAAACCAAAGGAGGCAGCTAACTAAAAAAATGAAGAACATTTGAATAATTATAAATACCTTATTTTAACACTTGCAAGACAGTTGTAGTGCAGATATGATGATAAATATAATTTATTGAACTAAGTGTTTTTAAAAACAATGTTTTGAAGTTTAAAGTCAGTTACAACTTTATATATTTGTTTATATTTAGCAACTTTCAATTTTCAAGTAAACACTATAAAACATTTAAAAGTAATTTTTTTTGTGTGTGTGTGTGTTTCATTTTCATTACTTTTCTATTTTCCTCTACAATGTTTGATTGTTCAATGTTTATAAAGCTTCACAGTTTTTCATAAAACACTAATATAATATGGTTAAAAAATGGTTTTGTATTTTCTCATTAGCCTAATTGTATTCCTAAATGTTCAAGTAGTACAGTAGAGCATTGATTATCCGACCCCCAATTAACCATCACATTGGTTAACTGACCGTTCTAGTCAGCAAATTTCAAATGTCTGCTAGTGATGTGGCACTACAATATTTGGCTATATCTTGGCTACTTTAATATAATTTTTGTTAAATTTTTGTGTGTTTTAGCTGGCATCAACGGCTCGACCATGAAAGGGAGGCCAGTATTTAAACGAGATTTAATTTTCTAATTTTGAGTGGTTTGTTTTCTGAGCAATAAAATAATTTAAAAATAATTTTTTATGATACAATAGCGACGATTATTATTTAAAAAAAAATTGTTAGGCTTAACATCGATGAAAATTCAATGCGAAGTAGGTTAATAGCGATATACTAATATACTAATTACATTTAACTAATTAATAGCGATATACTATACTAATAATGTATTTTTTTCATTATTTTCGGTTATCCGATCAACCTGAGTCCCCAATTGAGTCGGATAATTGATGCTCTACTGTAATTTGAAAGTTTGTGAAATAATATCTATAATATTGATGATGTATTTTAGTAATGAAATGGGTTTTTGTTTTAAACTTTGATTTTGATATGTAACAAGTTTGTCATATTTGATTTCATATAATAATAGAGGGAAAAAAGTTGAACAAATAAATTTGCATTCACCAATCTGAAATTTGAAAAATTAAAAAAAAAGTATGTTTATCAATTTCTTTAACAGGATGGAGGTGATCGAGGGCCAAGAACTGGTTCACGGGGAAGACAAGGTTACTATGCTAGGGACAATGCAGACAATCGAGACAATTCAAGTGATAGAAGGGAAAACTATGTTCGTCGTTCTAGCCGAGGTGAATACCAAAAAATTTATAAATTATAATAAAAATAATGTGTGAAGAAATAATCCTCTACACTCAATGGAATATTATTAATAGCAAAATTTGATAGATTATTTTTTTATAAATGATGATAACTGTAAATTAAATTTTTAGATGAGGATTCTGATAGAAAAGATTCTGATAGAAAATATCAGAATCAGTCTCGGTCTCGTGGTAGAGGAGAAAGAGCAACATCTGGAAATAGGGGATCTCAAGATCGTGACAGAGAGCAAAATGATTCTAAAGAGCCTGCTGTTCTTCATTATCAAGAAGATAAACCTCCAGTAATTATATTTAACAATTATAATTTTATTTATATTATTTAATGTTCTGATTACACACTGTGAATATATTTCAGGTATATACATCAACTAATAAATTTGTACACTTAATGCATGAGGATGATGATGTGGATAATGAAAGTACCTCTGAATAATTTTTATAAGTGCCTACAGCATAGTGTCAAGAATATTAGCATTCTCCGAGATCTGGATCTAAAAGTTGACATTTTGATCTGCATTGATCCATCGTGAGATTATAAAATGCTGTCAATTCTCCCTCCCAAATCATTAATCTTTGTTTTGATGCCATCAACTGCAACATTCCTTATCAGTAGATCAAGCAGTCAGATATATCCCATTGATTGGTTGGGTTTATAAGTAAGAACAGCCCATATTCCATCATTTTTTGGCAACTTTCAATATATCTAGATAAACAATTATGTGTAAAATGAAATCTGTTATCTCCAATAAATACCTGAAAACAAAAAAAAGTAAACAACAGTGTTAAACATTACTGCAATGGTCTTAAATACTGGAGAAGAGAGCATGTGATTGCTGTAGGCTGTCCACGATGGCCATTTCCTGATAATCAACAGAGCATTCTATGCAACTGGTAACGAGTCACCATCAAATCAAATGTAATGGGAACTTGAAAGATTTCCCCTACTTGTTGCTTTACGTGCTCTTGTATCTAAGAGAGTTAGTTGAAAGACAACGTATGATTGGTCAAAATGAAATTCCCCTTGAATTTAATTATTATTAATTTTTTTGTCATTATTATTTCCTTTATGTGAGCCGTTCGAAACATGTTTCATAATTTTATATTCCAAAAGCCGATCGTTTGTGAAACATAATTTTTGTATGTATATTATTCTAGCATCATTAACATGTTTTCAGCTGCTATCATGTTTCCAGTGGTTCACATGATGCAAAATGGAAATGTGTCGTTTATATATATAAATATATATATGTTGTGTTTGATCCTTTTTCAAAAACAATCATATTTAAAGACTTGTTACTCAATCTAGACACAGTCAAAAGCCAAATTTACTTTTACAAAGTACATTTAGACATTTTCTGTTGCATTTTGTCCAGTAAGTTTGATATAATGAAAGAAAATGGATTTTTAGCCAAAGGATTATGAAGTAGATAGATAATTTGATGTTAACTATCATTCTCGTGTTCTGATGTTTAAAATATTGTTATAATTAATTGAATTTTGTATTTTTATTGCATAACGAAAGCGAATCAAGTTAGCCAAGTTATTTGTAATTTTTTTGAATTTACCATAAGTGTTACAGATTGCAATATAATTATAGAGCAACTTTTCCGATTCTTGTTGGGTGGATGCTCTTGCCGACACATTTCCTATTTTTACCTTGAACAGTGTGTTTATGTATAGAATGAATAACTGCATCAATTGTGCTATTTGTCACTCTCGTGTAGTTCAGTTCTGCTTATATGCAACTGGTAATTATATCAAGTATGGGAATCTGTGATTTATTTTCTCCTATGCTTTTAATAGGGGGATGTACAATAAAACAAAACAGTTGCTGCTTATGTTTTGATATATTTTCTCCCCTGGGTTTTACTTTCAGATTTTTTTTGTATTTTACACTGATTGCTGAGTTATGTTTGAATGTATAATTAATTTCATCTATGCTATTATTCTGCTAATATTGTTGAGGATCTGCATGTAATTAACTACTTTGAATTAAAATCTAATATTTTCATCAGAAAATCATAGTGCAGTTTGGATTTTGATATGTGCAGAGGATTGTAAAGTTAGTCTGTTAGTGTCTAGATATTTTTAAAAGTTCACCCCAATATTTATTAAACACATTGTTAATCCTACTGTTTTTGAATAAGTTTTATCCTTAAACTATGATATTCTGAAGAAAATTGTTGTGTTATCCTATTTTCAGTAATTATTATTATTTTTTCATTATGTAAAATGTTGGGCATTTGTCATTTACCATGATTTTAGTAGATGTGTAAAATTTTTTAAAATTTTAAAAAATATATAAAAAATTATTTTGCTTGTGATTTTGCAGTGTGATTAATGAATCAAATTCAATAGCAGGATTGTTTTGACCTTTCCACGATGCTAATTTGTGTCCCTTTGCGTGCGCTCAACTCTCAGGTCAGTTGGTCAATTTCCCTCTGTGGCCTAATAGCACATAATATATATGTTTTTGTTAAACTACTTGCACATTTACAAAAATATATAGAAATATTGAATTTTAAATTATCGTGTAGAGATTTAAAGTATCGGATTTGAAATATTACTTTTTTGGAGGATCGTCACATACCAATAGAATGATGTATCAATGACGATAGAATTTAGTGGCATTATTAACTATTTTTGATTACAGGATAACACAACAATCAGCTTTAGATTGAAACTTAAATTTTCCATTTGAAGATTCTGCTGGAATTATCATAAAAAAGTTCTAGGTGCCTGCACAGTTAAAAATTGTAATAAAAAAAAAAATATATATATATATTTTTATAATATGTATTTAAATGCAATATTCTTTAATTAAGTGGATGTTTTGGCTTGCAAATCATCCCATTAGTCAATTTATTTATTTAATCTGTTAAATAAACTAAATTTGGAAAATGAGAAATTCAAAATTTGTTTAATTTTATAAATATAAATATATAAAAAAACTGAGAATGATAGGAAGAAATGTTAAAACTTTTTGCATGTTGCACATGCAAATTCATCAGAGAAATCTGGTTGTATCTTTTGAAAATAAAACATAAAAGATGGATTTTTGAATTGGAGAAATTAATAAAAACCAATGCAGTTGTAATGTTGCTGTAGTGTAGTAGTAGTAGTAAATACTTATGCAAAAATTTTGGCTAGAGAGCAATATTTATAATTATTCAAAGTAAATTTTTGCATGCATAAGTATCTTTCTACTCAAATCACATTAAATGTAGATGAAGGTAGCATAAATTATAATTTCTCCAGAAAACATTAGATAAATATTTTATTGAGGAAATATATGTACTAACAATCACCAACAATTAATTACATTAATAAATTTTTTACCAACAAATAATAATTCTACTTTCTAATTAGTGTAGTTGTGAACTAGATACAACTACTTTCGTCGTCTTCATTTGGGAAGACCATTAATAACGAAGATTCCGAATCTTGCTTTTGCTCTTTCTTCAGAAGAGATGAGTTTTCACTGTTACTCAGTGATTCGGTAGACTCGCACTGGAGATAAACATCAGTCGTCGGACTCTTGTAAGTTGGATGAAAGGTGGGTTGATTTTGATCTTTGATTTCTCCTGGCTCCTCTACGGACATGCTGCGTTTGAGTGGAAGTGTTTGAGTGGCATTTGTGGATGCTTCTTCTTCTTTTAGAGTCGGTTGTTTTTTTGTGGGGACCATGACGATCTGCTCTGATGTTTCTGTACCTTTAGTGTGAGCCGCAAACCCTGCACCTCTTCGAGATTTCCTGAAGCGAAATGTTTTTCGACTCTGTGCTTTCTGTCTCTGGAGACGATGTTTAGGTTTATGAATGTCTTGTTCCGGAGAATGAGGACTGGAAGGACTTAGAGGAACATCTCCTATTAAAAAAAAAGTTATAAAAAATTAATTACTCTTCAACAAACATATGAACTCATCCAATTATATATCCTAACTACCCAAATCGTCTCGCTCATCTGTATCTATTGTACCAACAGATGCACTTTCATCCCCAGAGATACTCTTTTTACTTCCACGTTTTTTTATGTGTAATGTGGATTTGCGAAATAATCTGGGTTCGGATGAAGATGACTGTTCTCCATCTAAAATTTCTACGCAAATAGATAAATGTGAAAATTTTTAAAAATTTTCTCAAGACGTATGATTCACAAAATTATTTTACCTTGAGAACTTGCACCTTCTGCATCTGGGTAACTCGTTCTTCGAATGAATCTTTCCACTATACGATGTCCTCCTTCGATGGAATGGAGACGGATGCTGAATCCCCTATGATGAGGGATGAAAGATTCGCTGCGGGTACTTAGTTCTCTTGTTAAGGGAGAGTGATACGATGCACTTGAACTCATAACTGTATAAAATGAATACTTAAATTTACTACAATTAAAAAATATTTTGCACATTTTGTCATCAAACTGTAATTCACCTGAAGGATTGCCAAGTCTAGTAACACTCTGGTGATTATTTGTTAATTCGGTGATGCTGGAACAGTGAGCGTCACTACCCATGTTATAAACGTAACTAGTTGTGTGAGAGACGTCACTATTACTGCAGATTTTCGTCAGAGTGGATTTTAATCTGTCCTTTTCTCCGGTGCCTACTTCAAATATAAAAAAAAAATGTAATAAATTAAAATCAATCAAACAAAAGACATACATACCTAATTTCCAAGCAATTAAATCTTCTTTCAGCATCTTCATTTCTGCAGTCATATCTTGAAACAGACTTCCTTGACATTTTGGCGTGGGAAGACTGAACCCTTGCAACTTTTCTCGTATTAGTTGTTGATAATAATACTCTTGTTCGTTGTCGCAGATGGTTCTTAACATCTGCATGTTTAAAGTTTTATGATTCTATAATAGTTATGAAAAAATGTTTAGATGTACGCACCTTATTCTTGATTAAAGGATAGAGTAATATGTAGAGAGGTGTTCGATGAGTGACTACAAAATCGAGAAAGTTCCATAATGCCAATCCACCTGGAATAATTTAAAGAATACATCTAAATTTAATAATCAGATTAATTTATCACGTTTATCCTATTAAAAATAAAAATAAAACTAGCTCATATTAAATTATTTGAATATCTTTAACCTTGCATTTTGTTTCCAAGTTCACGGATGCAACATGCTATTCGATGCCAGTCTTCAGATAATTCCTGCTCAAAGCATACTATTATAATTTTTAGCCCTGTGGTAACCAAAAATGGTAGACAGTCAGATGATACATAAAAACATTTTAACATTTCATTAAATTCACCTTACCCAAGAAAGCTATTTGAACTAAAGGAGTTATTCTTCTCGTCGGACTTTTTTCCTGAAAAGAATCATTTCCTCTTTTTCCCGATGTGGAACTGGACTGATGAGAATGTTTCAACGGTAAGGGAGTCAGTGCGGTCAAAATGACAGTTAGCGCAAAAGAAATATCGGTCTGACGTAATTTTGGGACGTCTGTAATACACAAAACTTTATCTGTACAAATACTTAATACAGTAACCTCTGGTTATATCGCACTTGTTAGGAGACAAAGAAAAAGCACAATATAACCGAATACTAAAAATTCTGAGCTTTTACTAAACAGATTATACATGCTATGGAATCTCTATCCTCGATTCTTTCAGCAGCAAATGTCTGATATACAGTCGACCTCCTTATAACACTTGATTATTCCTTTTTTTATGAATTCCATGTTGTACTAGTCACTTAGATTTTACAAACACGTGTGCTGGGCTGTGAACGGCTCACGTATTTGTAAAATCTAAGTGACTCATACAACATGGAATTCATATAAAACAGAATTCATATAAAACAGAATAATCAACAGTGTTATAGGGGGTTGACTGTACAATAAGCTTTGTTTTTCAATACCAGATTTTATTCATGGTTATATTGTATTAATTGGCATTTACATAAACATCAATACCACAAATGCCCATTTAGCATTATTGTTTCTTTAAAAATGAATTTAAAGACAAGTACTGTCAATGTAAAAACAAAATATCAGTTGTGATTTTATTATACAGTACAGTAGTATATTTCATAATAAATCGCTTATTAAAACTTCGTGTAATTTATATTTTTCAATAAAAATTATAAATACAGTAATTGAACATCAAAATGTAAAATTTCAGAGTAAAAAGTTTCTAAAAAGCAAAATAAAGTTACTACTGTATAAAAATTTTAGAACTTTGTTCAAAAATACACTGCTGGCCATCAAAAAGGACCAGAGATAGAAAGCTAAATTTATTTGGGAGATAACATGTTATACAAAGATCAAATGATTGAAAATACAGTCTCTTGTGAAGTGAGGAAGATGATGGAATCAGTATGGAGTGTTGCTGCCATTGCTGGCTATAACCATTGCTACATGCCTTGGCATTGAGTCAAAGAGGCTTTGGATATGTTGTTGGGGTATAGCATTCTATGCTGCTTCCACATATTGCCAAAGTTGATCTGATGTAGAAGCGGGTGGTGTATCCTGGGCAATCATCGAACAGACGTTTTCTATAGGTGAGAGAACAAGGAGGCCAAGGCAGCAATGCATCTGATGGGTGAAGAAGAAGTCTTGAGCAATGCATGCCACGTGTGGTTGCACATTATCTTGTTGGAATGTGGTTGTTGGCAAGCTCTGAAGGTATGGGAGTACAACAGGCTCCAACACCTCAGAGATATAGTGCTGGTTGGTCAGTGTACCAGCAATGCATACTAGGGGGTGTGGGAGTGGAATCCAATACCACCCCAACCATAATACCGGGTCTAGGACCAGTATGGTGATGCATAAGGCAACAGTTCAGCAGTCTCTCACCACGGTGTCTCCAGACTGTAATCTGACCATCATGGTGTTGCAGGCAGAAGCAGGATTAGTCAGTAAAAACAATGCCATTCCATTCGGTTGACCATGTCCATTGTTCATTGCACCATTGCTGGTGCAAATGCCTGTGGTTTTGACTCAATGGTAAATGCAGCAATGGACACCTTGTGGACATTCCACTCTGCTGCAAATGACGTCGAGGGTATGTGCAGACACCGATTGTTACGCAACAGACCTAATTTGTTGTGATATGGTTCATGATGTGGTGCAATGGTACAACGAGGTGGGTGCAATCGGTCCATCGTTCCTTCCTGCATCCAGCGGTTACAGATCCGCATCACAGTTGCTCGGTTACATCCAACACGATCACCGATTTCTCTGAAGGATAATCTGCACTCTCTATAGGCAACTATTCTTCCTCGGTTGAACTCAGAAATGTGCTCGAAAGACACTCATTTTCTTCTGAGTGGCATACTGAAGCTGCTTACACCAAAAAAACGCACGAAAGAACAATTCCAGTACTTCAAAATGGCCTTCCATTCTCCCTTTATATAGTTCTTGCAGGTGGTGCAACAGGCACCCGTGATGTGTGTCTGCACTGAAATGCTAATCATTTGCATATCTCATATCTGCAAATGCATGGTGCAAATTTTACTTGATTTGGATGGCCAGCAGTGTAAATCTTTTCCTTACACATTATCAACAAATTTGAAATTTCACATCTATGTGAATTGATGGTATTGGGTCAATTCACGGAAATTTATTGGTTTTAAGTATTGTCTCCTCATTTACAATGGTGGAAAGATCAATTATCATTTATGTTTCGTTTTCATATCAAATGAGGAGACAATACTTAAAACTAATAAATAAATAACATTTAATATGAAAAGGAAACATAAATGATAATTGATCTTTCCACCTGTTTTGCTTATTTAGATCTTGATGAATTTATTGTTTCAAGAACAATGGTAGGAATAATACTGTATTTCATTGGAAAAAGAAATTCAATGGCAATTGATATTTTAAAATTTATTGACTCAAGTAAATTTAAAATTTAGGGGACCAAAAAAATGAGATATATCCAAATCCGCGATATAATGAGCAGCTACCGTATAATTAAATTATATATAAAATGATACCTTTGATTCCACTACTAATTCTGATACACATGGGCAAGATCAAATTCATTAAATATAATTCCATTTTTTCTGGGATGGACAGAATGCTCGGACCACCACACACGGTCTCTAACGTCTGCATTTCCTGCATAGACATTTGAGAAATAAATTTTAATTGAAAAAATTGCATTCGAAATAAATAAATACTTACACCCAATGCTGACATCTGCATGGCCACCAGGCTGACCACGACGGAACAGAATCTGGAAGGGGGCGACTGGCCAAGAGCCGACATGGTGGGAAGATTAGTGGAACTGTCAGCACCGATAAGCAAGTTCTGATCACCCAATATGATCATCTGACACACTCCTATTAGGGACTGGATATAGAGAATGAGTTTCAAAAAATACAGCAGAATAAATTTTATAATTTTACCTTTAAATGTGGAAGATGTGCTATATATGGATGTCTGAATAATGTTAAATATATTCCTGGAAAGAAAAAAAAAGTTAATAATACAAATTAGGGGGAAAAGTAGTTTGCGATTACCTTTTAATAATAATCTTGCAGCATTCCAATCCACAAGTCGCTACAAAAATAAAATTTTTAAAATTACACAACAGTTTAAATATTGAAAAACTAAATAAAAATCTTAATAATGTAGTAATTGAGTCGTCGATATTTGATCGTTGCATTAGATGTTATTCTGCAATATTCACGAAATAGTATGAACATAATGAGCCTCAAAAATAAATTTTGCCTCTAGGTCTTTGGAAATCCTAGGACCACTTCTGGTTGAAATAATATCTGTTAAATATGCACTCTAGTCCAATTTTGAGAGTTAACTCAATTACTTTGAGATATTACAGATATATTGCTAGTAGCATGCCCCAACTATAGACCTTTTCAATGCAAAATTACAAGATGGCAGGCAGATAGCAGTTCCAAAAGTACATATATCAATAGTAGTTTTATGCCCCAATATGGCGGTTCTTGATCCGTGTCCCAACATTCCACAAAGAAAAAGATTTTGAAGTTTTTATTGTAAATTCTTTCAAATGTGCTACAATGTAGACAATTCCATGTTTACTATTTTATTTAAAGTTTATTGTTTTGTGAGAATAGTGAATGTGGAATTGCTTATTTATTTTTGAATATGTTGATGCTAATGCTCTGTATAATAAAATTATATGAATTTTTTGTTGTAATTTCATCTACATATCAAAAAATACTTAATTTTTCTATTTCTTTAATAGTATTAATGCACACTATTTTCATAAAAAAGATTTATTTGTGGTATGCAAATTTACAACATCCAGAATTGTAATATATATATAATCCATTGAACTGATAATTTTTAATGAACCATTTTCAATTAACCCCTAAAATGTCTTATTGACTCCCCAAGGTGGAGTATCAGCCACTTTATGGACCCATGATTTAAAATTCTCAGCTCTGCTCGGCATACTGAATGATTACAATTTACAGAAAAATTACAAAATGAATATACAATGAAACATTATGGGATAAGAATATAATAAATAATGCTTAAAGCAAATATAATACAGAGATGTTGATTTATAAAAACAGATATAAGGCAACACCATCTATATTAATGACCACAATTTTATCCATTGTAACTACCTATAAAGTGACTGAAGGATGGGAAATGACACTGCACTCCATACTATTCATTAAAAATCTCAAAGATCTAGATCAGATTCAAACACAGATCCCTGAGCTAACAGATTGATACCTTGCATAATTATATGTTGATTGGTAATCTGACATAGGAATACAGTAGATGGTTGATTATCCGAAAGAATTCCAGTTGGCAAATTTAAATTTTCGCCAGTGCTGTGGCACTGCAATCTTTGGCTATATCTTGGGCTACTCAAATATTCCACGTTTCTGATACTAAATTAACTTCTGAAGTATAATTTTTTATTGTTTTTATATTTTTCAATATATTTATTTTGTTCGTATAAAATAAAAAAATAATTTTTAATGGTACAATAGTCTTCGTTAGGCTTAACATCGACGAAAATTCAACGCAAAGCGATATGCAATGGAGAAAAATTTCAACGTGGGATAGGTTAATATATTTTTTCGTACATAATTGGTTATCCGAAATATCGATTTTCCGAACAACCCCAGTCCCCAATTGATTTGGATAATCGACACTCTACTGTAGTGTTAGATTAAGATTTCCAAATTATTGGAAGCAAGGTGAATTCATTGGCTTGCAAATGAATTTGACAGCATGGAGTTAGCAAAACAGTAGTTGATCAAAACATTGAGCATATTGCTGTCACCTATAATCATTATAGCAAGTTAGTGAATTACCACTAAATTTAGTGGGGGGACTGATTTTTATATCAATATTTATAGTATATAGTATTGTGTTATAAAATACTGTATTGTATCTTTTTTTGAGCAGCCTAAGGTGACAAGCCTAACAATTTTTAATATTGCATGTTTAATCTGAGATTCAACTCTGAAACATTTAGAATCTGTAAGTTAATATTTGAGTATCAAACAATAAAAAAAAACATGCACATTTTATTTGCAATTGGATAGTTCCTAAGATATTGATATGTTATACAAAGAATTTTATCAATTACAAATTTTCACATGTAATAGTTATACGTGTCAGTTTTTAATTGATGAAATTCTTTGTGTAGTTAAGTAATGAAAAGATATTAATATATGAGTATAGCTTATTAATTAAGAGTAGCAAATAATGAACATTAAATTTTAAGGACAATGAAATTAGAGAACAAGTAAATGAAACCATATTATTGTTAATTCATAAACTAACTAGATCACTCAATTAGCTGCAAACAACCTTGTACAGTAGCAAAAATGTTCATTAAACATTAACTAATTATTTGGTCATATTTAATGACCTTCATCAGGTTTGCTATTTAGAAAATCAACCGTTTTACAAAAGCCAACAGAAAACAGAACAAAAAACATTAGAATGCTGAACAAGGTTTAAATATTGATACAAAAAATAAAATATTTTGCAATCTGTTACACTCCACTGATATGTGCACTAAAAACTAAAAACAAAAAATTGGAGATAAAAAAGTCTATTGGTTATGTCATGATTTGCATGATTGCCAAACATTAGACATGTTCAGGTCCTTGTAGTTTGATAGTGTTTCCCCTTAGGCATATATTAGGAACATAGAACTAGTAACTGATATCCAATTTGACCTTAAATTATTTGGAAAATAAACAATGGCAATAATTGTTCATTGTTACTATTGTCTCCATAGTGGCTTACATTCCATTCAGATCACAAAATTAGCAAATTTCTTAATATAAATATCAAGAAAGCTGCTATCATCAAATTAGAAAACATGTTTCCTGAAAAGTGCCTTAAAATCTTAATCACGAGAATCAGTCAATTGGTCATTTACATGATAAAATTGTATATAACAGGCAATGTTAATTACATGTCTGTATACAACAAAATTGAATTATAAAAATGTATGCAGTAATATAATTAAAAATTATTTTCAAGTGTTATAATATGATTATAGACTTTTAATAATTAAATTATTATAAAGTATATTTTAAGAGTTTTTTTGTAACAGAAAAAATATGAATAGAATAATTATATGAATATAAAACCTTCTGGTGAAATTTACCACTATATTCATACAAATAATAAAATTAAATAGATGTATTCATGTACTTACTCGAATTGCCGGTTTCTTGGCTATTTTATTAAATGTCTTATCTAAACGCCTCAACACCATGATTAAAGCTGGTCTCATTGATTCTTGAGCCCATTCAGAGTGGGGAAGAAGTTCATTCATGTACTGCTGTAAACCTCTGCAAGCCATTGTTACTGGGTCGTAGGGAGACACCTTTAATAAGCTTTGGGCAACCTCGGCTAATCTCTGAAAAATAAAAGTTTAATAATTTATTTATTTTTAATTACATTAGGAAAAGTCTTGAGACAATTGATTTTCTCCCCCTATTAACATTAAAACCCCAATTAAAATAGATAAAAAATACATTTTGTCTAAATGATAAAAGATATAATTTTTATTTAAAAAATTTTCAAAAGTAAGTCTAACCTTATTTTTCTTAGCAATTAAATATTCTGGTAGATAAAATAAATATTCAAACCATTGAACAATTGAGATTTGAACTTTTTCCTATTCTCTTTAGCCCTGAATCTGGATTTTATAAATTTTTAGCTGTTTAGAAATGAAAATAAGTGGAAAATAACAACAAGTTATAAATTTTGCAGTTCAAGAATGATTTCAATAAGAAATCTTTATATATAAAATTACATGTCCTGACTGACTGATTCATCATTGCCCAGAAAAACTGCCGAACCTAAAGAGGTTAAATTTGGTACATGGTATGTCATGAAAATGCACACTAAGAAGGGATTTTTTGAAATTCCCCTCTGCAGGGGAGAGGGAGAGGATTAAGGCTTAACCTGAGGAATGGCTTCTACTGTACTATTTTAGATGCAATTTTTTGTTTTTGATAGTAATAACTTAATTTCCAAACATACAATACTTACCAAATCATCCAAATCATTTGCCTGAGCAATGCCAGGCTCATTTGCCTGAGCAATGCCAGGCTCATTTGCTAGTAAAAAATATTTTTAATATGTTCTAGATTTGATTTTAAAGTAGCAAAAATAGAATAGTTTTTAAAAATATTTTTGTTCTATTGTTAAATTTTCATTTGGTCTTCAATTATGAAATAAATAATGCAAAATATAGTAGAAATAATAAATATGTGAGCCTTTTTTAAGTGGTATAAGTCTGCTTTTTCTTTTTTCAAATATTAAAAGTTTGTGTATTAACCTATTTTATAACATTTTTAAAAGTTAATATGTTTGTTTTGTTTTTAAAATCAATTTTATTATTTGAGTCATTTTTGATCCCATCCCTTCCTATTATGTACGTACAATGATGTATTTTTGGCACACCTTCTTTTAAATTATGTACAGTAGTTCGTGGTCCCAACATTCAAGAAATGATTTTAAAAATTTCTGCAAATATTTCCTAACCAACACTTATACAAGTAATTAGGCTTGCAAAGACAAATTTATGATCCAACTATCACTAAAAAGTTCACATAGACAATGTCTATACTTCTTCCCTCTCCATCATGTAGAATGACATACTTTTTGCAACTCTCTCCCTCCCTTAAACTGTATAGATAATTAATGGATGTCCCCTAACTGACATATTAAGTTATTTTAGGGACAGATAAAAATAACTTTTACTCATATTGTATTCTGCATTTTGCTTCTGGACAAGTTCTTTAAATATTCATGGTTACAGGTATATAAAGCAATAAACTCATTATATTTATTAGGTCATTACATATAGCTCATGCTCTATGTCTAGAATTTATATATAACAGCAATAATGTAATTTCATTGAAATTTATTGATCAAAATTTAAATTGTTACTTTGATTATTATTTAATGTTGGAAGAGATAAAAACAAGATATACTTGAGTTCACTTTCCAACTGAAAAACAGTGTTCTCACTTGTTGATACACACACAACAGTGTTACCAATGGTACCTTAATATTAGGGCCTTGCAAACTTGTGATGCACTGGATGTGCTGAACTGCAAAATGAAATAAAATTTGAAAAAAAAAAAAAACAGTAAGCAAAATAAAAATATAATAGTTGGGTATTCAATATCAATTAAAACTGAATTTATATATACATAATTAATGTATGTATTTATTATTATTGTCTTGTTATAGGTAAAATAGTTCCCTTGTGGCTTCCTTGCACTTAGGTCCTGTAATGCATTTTCACAGACCTGCTAAACTCAACTGAGTAACATATCTGCCTAAAATTATTGAGTGGACTTATTTTCAAAATCATTTTTTCAATGTTGGACTTCCCCACTTTCATAAAAAATGGCTTATATTACTAAATAGTCATTATAAAGGGATATATAATGAATACCAAATGGCATTTGACATCAAGTATTTCAGTTGCTTTGTTGTTCAGATCAGGTATTTTTTTACTCAAGTCAGCAAGGCGAGAAGAACACTTTGAATAAAATTCACACACAACACTTAGCAGTGTGTCACGAGGAGAACGGAATTCAAATCGAAGCATTTCACTGTCTTCTACTTCTTTCTCATACTGTTGCTGTTTACGTGAACTATAATAACTGTCACTCATGAACCTGTATAGAAAAGATTATAAATTTTAAAAAATAACTGGCTAACAATTTACAGTTTTGAATATTTGCAATACTTGCTTTGAATGGCTATCATCATCTATTTCAAAAGGTGGGGAGCAAGCACCTTTGGAAGCATTTTTAATGCTTGAGCCTCTTAAATCAATCATTCTTTGAGGACCCGTATAGTTTCTAAAACAATTCAATTTTTAATTGATTATGGTTCAATTAAATATGTCAAAATTTATAATATATTTACCTAGCTAATGCTTCACAATTACTAATTAGAGTTTTTATACAAACTGCAATATTATGAATCATATTCAGTTCAGTTCTTGAACCACCAGGTGTTTCTTTCTTAGTGGTTAAAATCTGTAGATGTTTCAAATAAAATGGTAGTATCGCTTTAAGAATAGTCTAAAAAAAAAAAGCCAAGATATGATTTATATTTCATGAATATATAAAAATATAAGAATTTTATTAAGCCTATAACTGAAGTTTATTGTTTGCTAAATAACTTATTTATCCTACAGATACAGTGGTGCCTCATATAACGTACTTAATCCATTCCAGGCGCACGTCCATTAAGTGAAAAGTCCATTATACGAAATGTATTTTCCCATAGAAATACATGTTAAAACATATAATTCGTTCTGCAGCATAAAATAACTATACTGTACCATAAAAAAAATGAAAATGGAGCAGTCACCAATTATGCCGGGTAGTCAGATGTTGTGAGGAGGAGGTGGTGGAACACTTTTTTCACACATTCATACAGATACAGACTTTTTACACATTGCAGCAGGTCTCTATTTATTGTTTTTTAATCGGAGTCAGATTCAGGAGAGGCTACCAGAGCTTGCAGGGTCAACTCCTCTTGTTCCATCCTTCGTTTTTTGGCAGCTGGCTTCTTGGACATGAGAGAGAAACAGACCACCTTGGACATGAGAAACATGTCCAAGGTGGTCTGTTTCTCTCTTTTCTTCAACACCTATTGGAAATGACGTGCAAGGGTGTCATTGTAGAGATCATTGATCCTGTTGGCCTCAGCTGTGTTTGGATAATGAGTATTGGTAAACTCCTGAACCTCTCCCCATTTGACAAGGAAGTTTTTGTCAACTTTCACTCCTGATGATTTCTTGCTTTGTTTTAATTGAAATCACCTTTCTGTTTTTTTAGAAGCCTTGATTTGCACAACACTTGAATAAATGTAAATACCCTGCACTGAGGTGATGTACATAATAAACAAGGGAGCAAGCTGAATCCCAACGGGAGCTCTGCACTTCAGATATACTAATAATATATTCTAATAATACTAATCTATATATATAAAAATGAATGTATGTCTGTCTGTGTGTGTGCGTGTGTGTCCTTCATGCATTACCACACCGTTTATTCAATTGCCGTGAAACTTTGGGAAGTTGTTTAACATACTCTAGCAAAGGTTTGTGGCATAGTACGATTGCCATAAAGCTTTGGAAAGTTTTTTTAATTTTTTAATACACTCCCGCAAAGTACATTTATCCTACGATAGATAGTGCGCGTTTACACGAGCATTCGCGTACAGTGTGTTCGATCGATTTCAAATTGTGAAGACCATTTCCCCCTTCAAAAAATATCTCTATATATGTGTTACAGTCAAAACCCGTTTTTAGTTAGAACGCGTTTTAACTAGTTGAAACTAGTTTATACTGAATGTATTTGTTAAAACCCGTTTTGTCTAGTTAAAACTAGTTTTAACTCAAATTCATTTTTGACTAGCAGTAAATTCTAGTTTTAACTAGACAAAATCGGTTTTGTCTAGTTAATTTACTGCTGTATATGTTTTGACTTTAGACAAAACTAGTTTTAACTTTTAACATTAGTTAAAACTAATTTTAGCTACATAAATATGTTTGGGGGAAATAAAGTTATNTTTTTTTTTTTTTTTTTTTTTTTTTTTTTTTTTTTTTTTTTTTTTTTTTTTTTTTTTTTTTTTTTTTTTTTTTTTTTTTTTTTTTTTTTTTTTTTTTTTTTTTTTTTTTTTTTTTTTTTTTTTTTTTTTTTTTTTTTTTTTTTTTTTTTTTTTTTTTTTTTTTTTTTTTTTTTTTTTTTTTTTTTTTTTTTTTTTTTTTTTTTTTTTTTTTTTTTTTTTTTTTTTTTTTTTTTTTTTTTTTTTTTTTTTTTTTTTTTTTTTTTTTTTTTTTTTTTTTTTTTTTTTTTTTTTTTTTTTTTTTTTTTTTTTTTTTTTTTTTTTTTTTTTTTTTTTTTTTTTTTTTTTTTTTTTTTTTTTTTTTTTTTTTTTTTTTTTTTTTTTTTTTTTTTTTTTTTTTTTTTTTTTTTTTTTTTTTTTTTTTTTTTTTTTTTTTTTTTTTTTTTTTTTTTTTTTTTTTTTTTTTTTTTTTTTTTTTTTTTTTTTTTTTTTTTTTTTTTTTTTTTTTTTTTTTTTTTTTTTTTTTTTTTTTTTTTTTTTTTTTTTTTTTTTTTTTTTTTTTTTTTTTTTTTTTTTTTTTTTTTTTTTTTTTTTTTTTTTTTTTTTTTTTTTTTTTTTTTTTTTTTTTTTTTTTTTTTTTTTTTTTTTTTTTTTTTTTTTTTTTTTTTTTTTTTTTTTTTTTTTTTTTTTTTTTTTTTTTTTTTTTTTTTTTTTTTTTTTTTTTTTTTTTTTTTTTTTTTTTTTTTTTTTTTTTTTTTTTTTTTTTTTTTTTTTTTTTTTTTTTTTTTTTTTTTTTTTTTTTTTTTTTTTTTTTTTTTTTTTTTTTTTTTTTTTTTTTTTTTTTTTTTTTTTTTTTTTTTTTTTTTTTTTTTTTTTTTTTTTTTTTTTTTTTTTTTTTTTTTTTTTTTTTTTTTTTTTTTTTTTTTTTTTTTTTTTTTTTTTTTTTTTTTTTTTTTTTTTTTTTTTTTTTTTTTTTTTTTTTTTTTTTTTTTTTTTTTTTTTTTTTTTTTTTTTTTTTTTTTTTTTTTTTTTTTTTTTTTTTTTTTTTTTTTTTTTTTTTTTTTTTTTTTTTTTTTTTTTTTTTTTTTTTTTTTTTTTTTTTTTTTTTTTTTTTTTTTTTTTTTTTTTTTTTTTTTTTTTTTTTTTTTTTTTTTTTTTTTTTTTTTTTTTTTTTTTTTTTTTTTTTTTTTTTTTTTTTTTTTTTTTTTTTTTTTTTTTTTTTTTTTTTTTTTTTTTTTTTTTTTTTTTTTTTTTTTTTTTTTTTTTTTTTTTTTTTTTTTTTTTTTTTTTTTTTTTTTTTTTTTTTTTTTTTTTTTTTTTTTTTTTTTTTTTTTTTTTTTTTTTTTTTTTTTTTTTTTTTTTTTTTTTTTTTTTTTTTTTTTTTTTTTTTTTTTTTTTTTTTTTTTTTTTTTTTTTTTTTTTTTTTTTTTTTTTTTTTTTTTTTTTTTTTTTTTTTTTTTTTTTTTTTTTTTTTTTTTTTTTTTTTTTTTTTTTTTTTTTTTTTTTTTTTTTTTTTTTTTTTTTTTTTTTTTTTTTTTTTTTTTTTTTTTTTTTTTTTTTTTTTTTTTTTTTTTTTTTTTTTTTTTTTTTTTTTTTTTTTTTTTTTTTTTTTTTTTTTTTTTTTTTTTTTTTTTTTTTTTTTTTTTTTTTTTTTTTTTTTTTTTTTTTTTTTTTTTTTTTTTTTTTTTTTTTTTTTTTTTTTTTTTTTTTTTTTTTTTTTTTTTTTTTTTTTTTTTTTTTTTTTTTTTTTTTTTTTTTTTTTTTTTTTTTTTTTTTTTTTTTTTTTTTTTTTTTTTTTTTTTTTTTTTTTTTTTTTTTTTTTTTTTTTTTTTTTTTTTTTTTTTTTTTTTTTTTTTTTTTTTTTTTTTTTTTTTTTTTTTTTTTTTTTTTTTTTTTTTTTTTTTTTTTTTTTTTTTTTTTTTTTTTTTTTTTTTTTTTTTTTTTTTTTTTTTTTTTTTTTTTTTTTTTTTTTTTTTTTTTTTTTTTTTTTTTTTTTTTTTTTTTTTTTTTTTTTTTTTTTTTTTTTTTTTTTTTTTTTTTTTTTTTTTTTTTTTTTTTTTTTTTTTTTTTTTTTTTTTTTTTTTTTTTTTTTTTTTTTTTTTTTTTTTTTTTTTTTTTTTTTTTTTTTTTTTTTTTTTTTTTTTTTTTTTTTTTTTTTTTTTTTTTTTTTTTTTTTTTTTTTTTTTTTTTTTTTTTTTTTTTTTTTTTTTTTTTTTTTTTTTTTTTTTTTTTTTTTTTTTTTTTTTTTTTTTTTTTTTTTTTTTTTTTTTTTTTTTTTTTTTTTTTTTTTTTTTTTTTTTTTTTTTTTTTTTTTTTTTTTTTTTTTTTTTTTTTTTTTTTTTTTTTTTTTTTTTTTTTTTTTTTTTTTTTTTTTTTTTTTTTTTTTTTTTTTTTTTTTTTTTTTTTTTTTTTTTTTTTTTTTTTTTTTTTTTTTTTTTTTTTTTTTTTTTTTTTTTTTTTTTTTTTTTTTTTTTTTTTTTTTTTTTTTTTTTTTTTTTTTTTTTTTTTTTTTTTTTTTTTTTTTTTTTTTTTTTTTTTTTTTTTTTTTTTTTTTTTTTTTTTTTTTTTTTTTTTTTTTTTTTTTTTTTTTTTTTTTTTTTTTTTTTTTTTTTTTTTTTTTTTTTTTTTTTTTTTTTTTTTTTTTTTTTTTTTTTTTTTTTTTTTTTTTTTTTTTTTTTTTTTTTTTTTTTTTTTTTTTTTTTTTTTTTTTTTTTTTTTTTTTTTTTTTTTTTTTTTTTTTTTTTTTTTTTTTTTTTTTTTTTTTTTTTTTTTTTTTTTTTTTTTTTTTTTTTTTTTTTTTTTTTTTTTTTTTTTTTTTTTTTTTTTTTTTTTTTTTTTTTTTTTTTTTTTTTTTTTTTTTTTTTTTTTTTTTTTTTTTTTTTTTTTTTTTTTTTTTTTTTTTTTTTTTTTTTTTTTTTTTTTTTTTTTTTTTTTTTTTTTTTTTTTTTTTTTTTTTTTTTTTTTTTTTTTTTTTTTTTTTTTTTTTTTTTTTTTTTTTTTTTTTTTTTTTTTTTTTTTTTTTTTTTTTTTTTTTTTTTTTTTTTTTTTTTTTTTTTTTTTTTTTTTTTTTTTTTTTTTTTTTTTTTTTTTTTTTTTTTTTTTTTTTTTTTTTTTTTTTTTTTTTTTTTTTTTTTTTTTTTTTTTTTTTTTTTTTTTTTTTTTTTTTTTTTTTTTTTTTTTTTTTTTTTTTTTTTTTTTTTTTTTTTTTTTTTTTTTTTTTTTTTTTTTTTTTTTTTTTTTTTTTTTTTTTTTTTTTTTTTTTTTTTTTTTTTTTTTTTTTTTTTTTTTTTTTTTTTTTTTTTTTTTTTTTTTTTTTTTTTTTTTTTTTTTTTTTTTTTTTTTTTTTTTTTTTTTTTTTTTTTTTTTTTTTTTTTTTTTTTTTTTTTTTTTTTTTTGCTTTGAGTTGAGCGCTAAAATTTGCGTTACGAGCTAGCTTCCGATACCCCACCACTAGTTGGCGCATTGAATGCCACAGCAAACCATAGATTAAGAAAAAGATGGGTAAACTGCCATAATTTTGTTCTTTTCATTACTCTTCCAATGTTATAAGTACATTTTTCTTATTTAAAAATATGTAACAAAAAAATCGTGGTGTTTTGGGGTCCGGAACAGATTAATGTCATTTCAGTGGGGAAAATTGATTTGACATGTGAGTAATTTGAGTTAAGAGTTCGGTCATGGAATGAATTAAACTTGTAAGTCAATGTACCCCACTATACCTCAAATCTAGTCTAATAATTGCCAAATAAATGCATATTTTAAATCTTTGTATATTAAAGAATTGTATAGCAATCTTTTTATTGGTATTTTAAAAATATGCATGTTTTGAAAATCATTAATCAAGGACTTGTTTGCTGTTCAGAACTCTTAATTTTTGCATTTCACATGAAACAATAATTTGATATAAATGTAGTTATGCTTTTAAAACATTCATAAAATCAATCTGTTTTATGTATAAAGATCAATTTTATATCTGTTTAAATCTTATATTTTCAACTTATAGACCATATCATAAATTTGTTGTAATAGTGTAGTGTAATTGTTCTTTTAGTTAGAAAAATTAGTAAATACAAATTATATTTAATTTTAAGAAAAATATGAGAACTTTTTTAATATGAACATAGACTATTGAAAACTGATAACATAATGTTTTAGCATTTCACATCATATGTGTTCTTTTCTTGCCTTCTGCAACCTGTGAATAATTAAATATGATATTCCATATCCTTTATTTTCAAATTTGGTTTTATTTTGATAAATGGTCTACTAATTTTATTATTTAAGATTAAGATTTTGAAAATTTTTTCATTTCATAGGTGTAATAAAGACGATAATAGTGGAATAAAGAAATTACAGTCAAACTTTGGTTTTTGAACTTAATTTGTTCCTAAAAGTTGTTCTCAAACTGAAACAAATTTTCCCATAAGAAATAATATAAAATGGATTAATCTATTTTTGACCCCCCAAACAAAGCCCCTTTTTTTACCTTTTTAGCTGTATTTCATGCATAAAAATGCCTACAAATGAAATATATATTAAAAGCAAAATGTTCTGTCATTGCAAACCGAAATCATCACTTTACAAAAAAAGTGCTATAAAGAATCAACTCTCTCTGCTTGCATGAAATATAAACAAATCAATCAAGACAGATAGCAAGTACTTTATTCACACTTTCTGAAATATTATGTTTCAATTGTTTTGATTTTATTTTTAATTTTAGTTTGTTTCATTGTAAAAACTAGAGTTTTAATTATTATTATTATTATTATTATGTTGGGTTTAGTGGGTTGTACTCGGTACACACCGGTGGCTGTGTACTATGCCGGACCAGAGTCAAGGCATAGCAACCAAAACAAAACTAAAAATTTAACTTAATTAAATTAACTTAATTAAACAAAACAAAACTTATTATTATTATTATTATTATTATTATTGACATACTTTTCCTAAAGGTCCATTATATAATGAAAAATCAGCTTCTAAAGCCTTCCTTGGAAATGATGGTAATTTCATCAATTCTTCATGCATAAAAAATACTCTTTGTGTTACTTGTGTTGGAGATTTTAAAATTGATAAGCTCATTAAAACCTGAGAGAATTTTAAATTATTTCAATATTGTAATGTAAGAAATTTTAAAATAATTTTGAATTTTGATTAAATATTACCTTTCCCAGTTCAAGAAAACGCTGAGTGAACGCTTGTTTTTGTAGAGTTTCAAAAGCTACTTCAGGATCCATATGAATAAGTGATAATTGTGCATATTGAGATCGTTTGAAAAAATAATAGTCTCTGACATATGAGTCTAAACTATGCATTTGATCTGCAAGAATAAATTTACTGGCATGTATAATATATAATATTTAAAGAGTTCTAGCCTATTCCAGCAATAATTTCTTTATTTATCAAATGTTTTTGTTAAAATTTAAATTTAAAAAGAATTCTACTACATGTTCAATCCTGATGATGGCTACTTAGATGGTTGAAAACATTCAATAAATAAAGAAATTGTTGCTGGAACAAGCTAGAAATCTTTAAATTTTACATTTACTCTAGTTAAGAAGTTTATTAATATAAAATATAATTAATTTTTTTCATCTGATAGTTCTTTTAATTTAATTAATATTTTGAGACAAAGTTTACCCAAACAGGAACCACCATTTATTAGCTCTGTGTTTCAGACAATACAATCCTGGCGACTGACCTTTTTTTAGGCTACTAGCCATCAAAACGATAAAAAGTCCTTTTAAAAAAACACAAAAATTTCCAATTAAAAAATATAAAATTTTTCTAAAATAGGAACTAGCGATATACAAACATCTTCTTGATAACCATCTAACTTTCTTGGGGTGTTTTAGCTTTTTATCCACAATGAAGAAGCGCTGGAAAATGCAGATTTGGAAATGTTTTTCCCTGGTGGGGATATTTTACCGAAAATATCCCCACCAGGCCGAAATATATGGGGGCCGAAAATATTGCGCTTTGTCTCAAAATATTAATTAAAATAAAATATAATCCTTTATTTCATAAAAGTATAGACTCTTAAAAAAAGATGTTAAGATAATTTCAATTATACATGGTGTTTTTTGTTGTAAACTTATTTCATTTCTTATTCAATATACATTTTTTTTATTTGTTTTCAATTTGAAAATATGTTTTTTCAGAAATTAATTGGTTACACTTTGTTAAAACTTAAAAAAATTTACTTTGTTAAAAAAATAATATGATAATTTTAAATTAAGTGTTTATAAAATATAAGTTTATTTATTAAAATAATTTCTATCATCAAAAAATGAAATTAAATAATTACTGGTTTTCATGTCCACTAAGAAATATGAATTGTGTTGAGCTTCATCTATTCCAAAAAAATCTAAGCTGTCTTGCAAAATGTGAGAAAACTGTGTATCCTAAATTTAAAATTAAAATACATTAAACATTTATAATATCTCTTAAGACAAACAATAATTTCAAAATTTATAAATTACTTCATGAACTGGAAATTGTGAAGGGATACCACCAGCATCAGGGCCATGAACAATAATTTTTTTTGCACTTGGAATATTGGCTGTTATCAATAATGTTGACTACAAATAAAAACAATACAATAAAATAAATATTTATATAATTTAAATAAATGTTAAGATAAATTTAAATTAGCTTACATCACATTGTTCTTTGCGTAGTATTTGTTTCAAGTCCTTCAAAAATAATCCATGCACACTTGGTACAACCTTTAATGCAATCAAATACTCAGTTTTAGATACCAAAAAATTTAAACATAACATAGAAAAAACAATTATAAAATAAATTTTAATAATAAAAACTTACCAACCAAAGCACAGATAAAGCATTAGAAATAATTTCTTGGCTGCATTCTATACTTGTTCGCACATAAAACATAATAAATCCAATCTAAAATAAAATATTTAATCGATTAAAACTGATGTTGTTTGATGATAACTTAGTAAAATAAACTTAAAAGAATATTTCTGAAGTCAATTTCCTTTCAAATAATTTTTACCTTTAGTATTTATATTTTAAAACATTTAGTTATCAGAGTAAATTTACTTTTTCTGTCTTGTAAGTCGAATAAATACAAATATACACATCAAACGAAACCTGATATTAAGCAAATATACATCCACAACTGCTGTAAATGATCATGCTAAATTTGGATATAATGATTATAAATTAGAAATAAATTTGGCACTAGAGTGAGGTGTTAGGCGCATCTCATATTAAAATTNAGCCGAATCCCAACGGGAGCTCTGCACTTCAGATATACTAATAATATATTCTAATAATACTAATCTATATATATAAAAATGAATGTATGTCTGTCTGTGTGTGTGCGTGTGTGTCCTTCATGCATTACCACACCGTTTATTCAATTGCCGTGAAACTTTGGGAAGTTGTTTAACATACTCTAGCAAAGGTTTGTGGCATAGTACGATTGCCATAAAGCTTTGGAAAGTTTTTTTAATTTTTTAATACACTCCCGCAAAGTACATTTATCCTACGATAGATAGTGCGCGTTTACACGAGCATTCGCGTACAGTGTGTTCGATCGATTTCAAATTGTGAAGACCATTTCCCCCTTCAAAAAATATCTCTATATATGTGTTACAGTCAAAACCCGTTTTTAGTTAGAACGCGTTTTAACTAGTTGAAACTAGTTTATACTGAATGTATTTGTTAAAACCCGTTTTGTCTAGTTAAAACTAGTTTTAACTCAAATTCATTTTTGACTAGCAGTAAATTCTAGTTTTAACTAGACAAAATCGGTTTTGTCTAGTTAATTTACTGCTGTATATGTTTTGACTTTAGACAAAACTAGTTTTAACTTTTAACATTAGTTAAAACTAATTTTAGCTACATAAATTAGTGGTTAAAATCTGTAGATGTTTCAAATAAAATGGTAGTATCGCTTTAAGAATAGTCTAAAAAAAAAAAGCCAAGATATGATTTATATTTCATGAATATATAAAAATATAAGAATTTTATTAAGCCTATAACTGAAGTTTATTGTTTGCTAAATAACTTATTTATCCTACAGATACAGTGGTGCCTCATATAACGTACTTAATCCATTCCAGGCGCACGTCCATTAAGTGAAAAGTCCATTATACGAAATGTATTTTCCCATAGAAATACATGTTAAAACATATAATTCGTTCTGCAGCATAAAATAACTATACTGTACCATAAAAAAAATGAAAATGGAGCAGTCACCAATTATGCCGGGTAGTCAGATGTTGTGAGGAGGAGGTGGTGGAACACTTTTTTCACACATTCATACAGATACAGACTTTTTACACATTGCAGCAGGTCTCTATTTATTGTTTTTTAATCGGAGTCAGATTCAGGAGAGGCTACCAGAGCTTGCAGGGTCAACTCCTCTTGTTCCATCCTTCGTTTTTTGGCAGCTGGCTTCTTGGACATGAGAGAGAAACAGACCACCTTGGACATGAGAAACATGTCCAAGGTGGTCTGTTTCTCTCTTTTCTTCAACACCTATTGGAAATGACGTGCAAGGGTGTCATTGTAGAGATCATTGATCCTGTTGGCCTCAGCTGTNTTTTTTTTTTTTTTTTTTTTTTTTTTTTTTTTTTTTTTTTTTTTTTTTTTTTTTTTTTTTTTTTTTTTTTTTTTTTTTTTTTTTTTTTTTTTTTTTTTTTTTTTTTTTTTTTTTTTTTTTTTTTTTTTTTTTTTTTTTTTTTTTTTTTTTTTTTTTTTTTTTTTTTTTTTTTTTTTTTTTTTTTTTTTTTTTTTTTTTTTTTTTTTTTTTTTTTTTTTTTTTTTTTTTTTTTTTTTTTTTTTTTTTTTTTTTTTTTTTTTTTTTTTTTTTTTTTTTTTTTTTTTTTTTTTTTTTTTTTTTTTTTTTTTTTTTTTTTTTTTTTTTTTTTTTTTTTTTTTTTTTTTTTTTTTTTTTTTTTTTTTTTTTTTTTTTTTTTTTTTTTTTTTTTTTTTTTTTTTTTTTTTTTTTTTTTTTTTTTTTTTTTTTTTTTTTTTTTTTTTTTTTTTTTTTTTTTTTTTTTTTTTTTTTTTTTTTTTTTTTTTTTTTTTTTTTTTTTTTTTTTTTTTTTTTTTTTTTTTTTTTTTTTTTTTTTTTTTTTTTTTTTTTTTTTTTTTTTTTTTTTTTTTTTTTTTTTTTTTTTTTTTTTTTTTTTTTTTTTTTTTTTTTTTTTTTTTTTTTTTTTTTTTTTTTTTTTTTTTTTTTTTTTTTTTTTTTTTTTTTTTTTTTTTTTTTTTTTTTTTTTTTTTTTTTTTTTTTTTTTTTTTTTTTTTTTTTTTTTTTTTTTTTTTTTTTTTTTTTTTTTTTTTTTTTTTTTTTTTTTTTTTTTTTTTTTTTTTTTTTTTTTTTTTTTTTTTTTTTTTTTTTTTTTTTTTTTTTTTTTTTTTTTTTTTTTTTTTTTTTTTTTTTTTTTTTTTTTTTTTTTTTTTTTTTTTTTTTTTTTTTTTTTTTTTTTTTTTTTTTTTTTTTTTTTTTTTTTTTTTTTTTTTTTTTTTTTTTTTTTTTTTTTTTTTTTTTTTTTTTTTTTTTTTTTTTTTTTTTTTTTTTTTTTTTTTTTTTTTTTTTTTTGCTTTGAGTTGAGCGCTAAAATTTGCGTTACGAGCTAGCTTCCGATACCCCACCACTAGTTGGCGCATTGAATGCCACAGCAAACCATAGATTAAGAAAAAGATGGGTAAACTGCCATAATTTTGTTCTTTTCATTACTCTTCCAATGTTATAAGTACATTTTTCTTATTTAAAAATATGTAACAAAAAAATCGTGGTGTTTTGGGGTCCGGAACAGATTAATGTCATTTCAGTGGGGAAAATTGATTTGACATGTGAGTAATTTGAGTTAAGAGTTCGGTCATGGAATGAATTAAACTTGTAAGTCAATGTACCCCACTATACCTCAAATCTAGTCTAATAATTGCCAAATAAATGCATATTTTAAATCTTTGTATATTAAAGAATTGTATAGCAATCTTTTTATTGGTATTTTAAAAATATGCATGTTTTGAAAATCATTAATCAAGGACTTGTTTGCTGTTCAGAACTCTTAATTTTTGCATTTCACATGAAACAATAATTTGATATAAATGTAGTTATGCTTTTAAAACATTCATAAAATCAATCTGTTTTATGTATAAAGATCAATTTTATATCTGTTTAAATCTTATATTTTCAACTTATAGACCATATCATAAATTTGTTGTAATAGTGTAGTGTAATTGTTCTTTTAGTTAGAAAAATTAGTAAATACAAATTATATTTAATTTTAAGAAAAATATGAGAACTTTTTTAATATGAACATAGACTATTGAAAACTGATAACATAATGTTTTAGCATTTCACATCATATGTGTTCTTTTCTTGCCTTCTGCAACCTGTGAATAATTAAATATGATATTCCATATCCTTTATTTTCAAATTTGGTTTTATTTTGATAAATGGTCTACTAATTTTATTATTTAAGATTAAGATTTTGAAAATTTTTTCATTTCATAGGTGTAATAAAGACGATAATAGTGGAATAAAGAAATTACAGTCAAACTTTGGTTTTTGAACTTAATTTGTTCCTAAAAGTTGTTCTCAAACTGAAACAAATTTTCCCATAAGAAATAATATAAAATGGATTAATCTATTTTTGACCCCCCAAACAAAGCCCCTTTTTTTACCTTTTTAGCTGTATTTCATGCATAAAAATGCCTACAAATGAAATATATATTAAAAGCAAAATGTTCTGTCATTGCAAACCGAAATCATCACTTTACAAAAAAAGTGCTATAAAGAATCAACTCTCTCTGCTTGCATGAAATATAAACAAATCAATCAAGACAGATAGCAAGTACTTTATTCACACTTTCTGAAATATTATGTTTCAATTGTTTTGATTTTATTTTTAATTTTAGTTTGTTTCATTGTAAAAACTAGAGTTTTAATTATTATTATTATTATTATTATGTTGGGTTTAGTGGGTTGTACTCGGTACACACCGGTGGCTGTGTACTATGCCGGACCAGAGTCAAGGCATAGCAACCAAAACAAAACTAAAAATTTAACTTAATTAAATTAACTTAATTAAACAAAACAAAACTTATTATTATTATTATTATTATTATTATTGACATACTTTTCCTAAAGGTCCATTATATAATGAAAAATCAGCTTCTAAAGCCTTCCTTGGAAATGATGGTAATTTCATCAATTCTTCATGCATAAAAAATACTCTTTGTGTTACTTGTGTTGGAGATTTTAAAATTGATAAGCTCATTAAAACCTGAGAGAATTTTAAATTATTTCAATATTGTAATGTAAGAAATTTTAAAATAATTTTGAATTTTGATTAAATATTACCTTTCCCAGTTCAAGAAAACGCTGAGTGAACGCTTGTTTTTGTAGAGTTTCAAAAGCTACTTCAGGATCCATATGAATAAGTGATAATTGTGCATATTGAGATCGTTTGAAAAAATAATAGTCTCTGACATATGAGTCTAAACTATGCATTTGATCTGCAAGAATAAATTTACTGGCATGTATAATATATAATATTTAAAGAGTTCTAGCCTATTCCAGCAATAATTTCTTTATTTATCAAATGTTTTTGTTAAAATTTAAATTTAAAAAGAATTCTACTACATGTTCAATCCTGATGATGGCTACTTAGATGGTTGAAAACATTCAATAAATAAAGAAATTGTTGCTGGAACAAGCTAGAAATCTTTAAATTTTACATTTACTCTAGTTAAGAAGTTTATTAATATAAAATATAATTAATTTTTTTCATCTGATAGTTCTTTTAATTTAATTAATATTTTGAGACAAAGTTTACCCAAACAGGAACCACCATTTATTAGCTCTGTGTTTCAGACAATACAATCCTGGCGACTGACCTTTTTTTAGGCTACTAGCCATCAAAACGATAAAAAGTCCTTTTAAAAAAACACAAAAATTTCCAATTAAAAAATATAAAATTTTTCTAAAATAGGAACTAGCGATATACAAACATCTTCTTGATAACCATCTAACTTTCTTGGGGTGTTTTAGCTTTTTATCCACAATGAAGAAGCGCTGGAAAATGCAGATTTGGAAATGTTTTTCCCTGGTGGGGATATTTTACCGAAAATATCCCCACCAGGCCGAAATATATGGGGGCCGAAAATATTGCGCTTTGTCTCAAAATATTAATTAAAATAAAATATAATCCTTTATTTCATAAAAGTATAGACTCTTAAAAAAAGATGTTAAGATAATTTCAATTATACATGGTGTTTTTTGTTGTAAACTTATTTCATTTCTTATTCAATATACATTTTTTTTATTTGTTTTCAATTTGAAAATATGTTTTTTCAGAAATTAATTGGTTACACTTTGTTAAAACTTAAAAAAATTTACTTTGTTAAAAAAATAATATGATAATTTTAAATTAAGTGTTTATAAAATATAAGTTTATTTATTAAAATAATTTCTATCATCAAAAAATGAAATTAAATAATTACTGGTTTTCATGTCCACTAAGAAATATGAATTGTGTTGAGCTTCATCTATTCCAAAAAAATCTAAGCTGTCTTGCAAAATGTGAGAAAACTGTGTATCCTAAATTTAAAATTAAAATACATTAAACATTTATAATATCTCTTAAGACAAACAATAATTTCAAAATTTATAAATTACTTCATGAACTGGAAATTGTGAAGGGATACCACCAGCATCAGGGCCATGAACAATAATTTTTTTTGCACTTGGAATATTGGCTGTTATCAATAATGTTGACTACAAATAAAAACAATACAATAAAATAAATATTTATATAATTTAAATAAATGTTAAGATAAATTTAAATTAGCTTACATCACATTGTTCTTTGCGTAGTATTTGTTTCAAGTCCTTCAAAAATAATCCATGCACACTTGGTACAACCTTTAATGCAATCAAATACTCAGTTTTAGATACCAAAAAATTTAAACATAACATAGAAAAAACAATTATAAAATAAATTTTAATAATAAAAACTTACCAACCAAAGCACAGATAAAGCATTAGAAATAATTTCTTGGCTGCATTCTATACTTGTTCGCACATAAAACATAATAAATCCAATCTAAAATAAAATATTTAATCGATTAAAACTGATGTTGTTTGATGATAACTTAGTAAAATAAACTTAAAAGAATATTTCTGANTATAATAATATAACATAATTTAAATTAACCAAGCCAAAAGATTTACCTTGCACAATGCCTTTGAGAGTCTATTACAGGCTCGTATTTGACGATAATGACAGTTTAAATTACAATGATGTTGATGATGACAAGAAAAATTTAAAGTTTCTAATAACTGCACCACAACCTAAAATAATAACAAAATGTTTAAAAGAAATACTCTATAAATATATAGATAAAGTTTATATTAATTAATACTTTAAGCCATGGAAAATTTTTTCCAATTGATCCATTTGCATCTATTAAATCAACAGGACTTTCTGGTGGTTGGTCATCACTTAGTACACCTGGAGATTCATCTCCACTTACATCTGCTCGTTCACTAGTATCGCTACGATCTGATATAGCACTAACTTTCCGCCGAGAATGTATGCTCTCTGTTCGTCTCAATCCTAAATTATATTATTAACTATAATAAATAATTTAAATATTAAATTGAATACCAACTAGTTGGAAAGTACAAACCTCCTTCTTCATCCAGCCCGAAGCAAGACTCGGACCTCACTCTAGTGCCAAATTAATTTCTAATTTATAATCATTATATCCAAATTTAGCCTGATCATTTATGGCAGTTATGGTGTATATTTCGAATAAATACAATTTACTAAAATGAGAAATTTCTGACAAATCATTTAAATTTTTCATAAACAGATATAATGAAGATTGAACTTTTAAAATTAATATACACTTACTAAATAGTTATACAAATAATATGCAGCCTGTGCCGGTAATTTAGGAATATAACGCAATAATCTTCTTATAACTTGCATCATTGTATCTGGTTTCTCTCTGGTTAATTTCTCAAGAATTAATCTTAAAAACAGAGCAGTATCTTCCACAAGACAATTCCAAATCACTTGATAGGCTACTTCATATACTATAAAATTAAAATTTGTATTTAGAGATTTTTAAAATAATATGTATTTCATAAATTGATACATACCGGCAAATCCTTGTGAACAAACTTGTACATCTTCTAAAAGATTTATAATATGGATTGAGGCATTACATAAGCATGATGGAAACAGAAGTTGTGCTATTTGCATGTGATGCAACATTGTTCTTTCTAAAGTTAGATTATCTTCATTTCCAACATCTGAGATTTTAAAAATATTTATTTGTATTCTTTTAATATAGCACATAACAATAACAATTTACTATTATATTATATTATATTTATAATTATTTATTATTATTAATTTTTTACAATGTTAGTCATGAGCATTTGCAGAAAATTTTCGAGGAGAGCAAAGCTTGGAGACAAATAATTACATCAATATATTTTTATTTATTTATTTAATTCTTGTTAGATCATAGAATAGTATTGAATCAAAGCATTTTATGGTCAAGAGTGTAAGGTTATATAGTTCAGTCATTTCTATGATTATAATTTGTAAAATATTATACTCAATTCCAGGGGAAAACAAGTTCTTTGTTTGTCCCTCTCTGCAACTGCTCCTGATGTTAGTTAATATGTATAATGCAAAATTACCATCCTCGTGTTCTTCAGCAGTATGAAACAGTGCTGGTTCATAAGCAGCATGATAGCAGACTGGAACTGAAGTAATATGATAATTTTCTCTATTTGCTCTTTTCTTTTCTTCTTCTGCTTGTAATGCATTATGCACTAATTCCATTTGTTGTTTACGTCTCGTTTTTGTTGCAGTTACAAAAGAACGTTGCAGCTATAACATTAAAAATTTTATTCATAATATCAATATAAATTTAATTATAAATTAAATAAATAAAATTATTAAATTTATTTTAAAATAAATTACTGATTGTTCTTGATTGATTGTAACTTCTTCTACTTTAGCTTTTACATGAGGCATCCAAGGAGGATCTGCAACTGGAAGTGATTCGATAGCTATTTTAGGAGAAGGTGATGTGAATTCTATAGCTGGTGGAGGAACCTTAATTATAATAGTTTAAACATTAAAAAAATTTTTACTTAAATTTCCTAATTTTATAGAAATATTTGAAAACAAACTTTGAAAATTAAATGAGCACCATCTTCCATGTTAGGCCAACACTGATAACGAAATTTCCACAGGGATCGAAATCTATAATATAATAAGTCAATGATTATTTCAGATCTGAAATGTGTAATCTGCAGAAGTATTGTACATACCTGAGAATGGAATTGACTCGTTGCTCTGGATCTTCAGTATGTAATTCATCATATATCATTTTTGTAGCTATATCGGGACATTTCACAGAAGATAGAATGAATGTGACAGCTAATAATAAAATAATTGAACAATAATTAACACAATTAATTAATTAATTTAATCTCAAATTTTTTAATATTAAAACTTAAATAAATAATACCTGCTGAACTTGCTAATTGTTGATTACTTTCTAATAATAATTCCCAAGAAATGGACATTGTTCTTTTGTAAATGTCATCAGACATAATCACAGCTCCTTTAATTAACATTGACAGAGGAGAATGAAAAAGTCCTCTTACCTAAAAAATAATTTTAATATTTCTAAGAGTTTTTCTGCTGATATTCTATTGCTAAATGATCAAAAATTAAACCTGGCTCTTTAAATATTTCAATATTTGATCCTGTTCAATTTTTTCTTGTTTTTTCTTACTACTAGTATCAACTTTCTGCTGAGTTCCTTTATCTGCATATAGGCATGCTTCAATGTCATGAGCTAAATGAGTAGTACTGCTATGTAAAGAACGAGAAGGTAGATATGGTATATCCATAGCATGTTCTAATTTGTCAAGATTATGAGGTATGCTAGCTTTTCTTTTCAAAGGAGAACTAGGAGCTGTTATAATCTGTAACAAATAGTTGCTTAAATATTAAAAATGTTATTGTGATAATGAAAACAAAGAAATAACATACTTTTTTTAATTTCTTTTCTTTTTTTATTTCTTCTTTATCAGAATGTTGTTTTTCAGTACTTTGTGAAAAATTAAATTCTTCTCCATAGACCTAATAATAATTTATGATAATATAACATAATTTAAATTAACCAAGCCAAAAGATTTACCTTGCACAATGCCTTTGAGAGTCTATTACAGGCTCGTATTTGACGATAATGACAGTTTAAATTACAATGATGTTGATGATGACAAGAAAAATTTAAAGTTTCTAATAACTGCACCACAACCTAAAATAATAACAAAATGTTTAAAAGAAATACTCTATAAATATATAGATAAAGTTTATATTAATTAATACTTTAAGCCATGGAAAATTTTTTCCAATTGATCCATTTGCATCTATTAAATCAACAGGACTTTCTGGTGGTTGGTCATCACTTAGTACACCTGGAGATTCATCTCCACTTACATCTGCTCGTTCACTAGTATCGCTACGATCTGATATAGCACTAACTTTCCGCCGAGAATGTATGCTCTCTGTTCGTCTCAATCCTAAATTATATTATTAACTATAATAAATAATTTAAATATTAAATTGAATACCAACTAGTTGGAAAGTACAAACCTCCTTCTTCATCATCTTCAGCAAATGTAGAAGAACGACCTCTATTTTTTCTATCACCTGTTTTTTTTAGTTTTAAGCTTCTTCTTTTAAAACTAGAATTTATTCCAGAAACTGGACCTTTACGTAACAAATAAGGACGAACTTGCCCTATGCGACGCCCTAAAGAATAAAAAGTAAATTAACTATTTATTTATAAAAACTTTAAAAAGTTAAAACTGTCATGTATATATCAGAAATAATTGCAGCAATGCAGCAATTCATTTCTATTCTTATGTAGTAACATTTTGGGTTAGATTATTGTAGGTTTTGAATAATTTGTAATTAATAGTGATAATTAAAATGTCATATGTCAACATCAGGTTAATGTAGAGAGTATAGTTGTAAGCTTCTTACCTCTAACGACTTAAATAATTATCTCATACTACTAGTAATTAGTGGAAATATACAAGCCTTATCAAACTGTATTGGAGCATCAGTAAATCTGATGTGAAAGGTGAGAAATGCATTACAAATGAGACAAGACAAATACCAGTCGAATTGCGTTTCTTTTAATCAAATAAAGAAAACAGATATTATTCTGCCTGCTATAGAGAACAAAAATGTAATTACAGTAATTTCCCACTATTGCTCGATCTTCCCACGACAATTAATTATTACACAATTCAGCTTAAAACTAAGACTAATCACTATAGACTATCACTACTTAAAAACTAGATAGAAAGAGAAGAATGAAGACTGGTTAGAGAGTATACTGGTATCTTAGATTGGGGTCCTGATAACAAAAATAATATGGATGATGATCGCCATATGGATGGTAGATGTTCAATCCATTTACAACGGATTAATGATAACATGTTATCATTAAATATTGCTGAGGAAGGTTTCCTTTGGCTTGGATGGGAGAATTCACTTACTTATTTCTGTCTGATGATGCCACTTAGCTTGGTGTCATTGTTTACACGTGGTCTACACTGATGATCTCTGCTTTCCTATCTCTCTAGGCCTCAGAGTTCTGGTTGCTTCTCAACCAGCTCGGTCTCCCTCACTAGACCTCCTCTCTTGTTGGTGGCAACCCAAAATGTGACTCTCCTTAACTCCTGTTTTCCCACGTCTCCCTCAGGCAGGACCCTTTCTTTTCCTTTTTTTTATTCTGGCCAATCAGAACCCACAAACTGTAATAATTAATAGGCTCCTGTCATGTGACAGGAAAGGGTTGAAGACAGAAGGAAGAAGAATTACAAGAAAGAAGAAAGGAGTTCCTATTCTATATACAACTATATATAATACAAAAACAAGCATGGTAGACAGCCACACCAGCTCACATCAAAAAATGCTAATTTTATTTATGGAATGCATTTTGGTTTTCACTCAACCCTCTTCAGTCACTATTACATAAACACAGATACCTACAATTGCAAAAAACTTATGTATCTGTGTTTATGTAATAGTGGCTGAAGAAGGTTTAATGAAGACTGAAATGTATTCTATGAATAAAATTAGTCCTATTTTTGTATATGACTGTGATTTTCTAATGCTCCAATACAGTTTGATAAGCCTCATATATCTCCGCCAATTGGTAGTTTGAGATAATTATTTAATATAGAGATTTACTTAATTCAAAGCATGTGTTCATGAAGTTTATTAAAATCAATGCATATGTTACTTTATGAAGTTTGTTTAAGATAATAAGATAGAAAATTTAGCAATTTCCACATATTTTATAAAATAACTCAAATGTATATTTGGAAAATTCAGATATTTAACAAAATTTGATTTTTTTTAAAATTCATAATCTTGAATAGTATGAACAATTCTTGCCTTCTGTTTTTAAAGAACAATATTTATGATAAAATTTTCCCAAAGTAATTTTGAAATATGAAATAGTTTCATTGAATGTTACACAATGTATCTTATAATATAATCGAGATGGGTTAATAATGATAATGATAATGATAAGCACAGAGCCCAAATGGTTAGGAGTTGAAAGTTGAAATTTGGTACACAATTAGGTATGCCATGAAAATGCACACTAAGAAATTCCCCCTGTGGGGAGAGAGAGAGGGTTAAGGATTACCCTGAAGAACTTGGTTTCTACTGTACTATTTTAGATGTGGGTTTTTGTGGGAAATCGAACATATTTTTAGACCCATCTAAAAATTCTCTAATTAGCCTCAGAAGAGGGAGGACCTAATTCTTGCACCTGGTGAAAATGGTTAAGATCAGCTATATAACTACAAAGATTATCTTACATATGGATTTATCACCCCTAAATGACCAATCTAACATATTTTTAAAAAATTCTTTATTCCTCTACTGTACACAATTTAAAGATTCTGGTATTTTTGAAATCGTGCCAGTAATACAGGTCTGCAAAAAAAAACTTTTTTCCGGCTGCATGGGATATTTTTGCTGAATTATATATTTTAAAGATTGGAGATTCTAAAAATGACTTCCGTAACATTCCATCATGTATAGGTTTTTTGCAAAATAAAAACAAATATTTGATAAAAACTCTTATTTATTACAATGAACTAAATATATTATATTTTCTTATGACACCTTTTCTTCTTCTCTTTGATGCTTCTCCAAACTCGTTTCCAATTTCCTTCTCTGGTTTCTCGACTGAGCATCCAACAGTAGTCAACTAACATATTGACATACCATTTTCCTTGATAACATCTCTCAATATCACGGACATCCTGGTGAAATCTTTCACCCTGTTCTTCACTGTAGGCTCCCAAGTTTTCAGGAAAATAGTCAAAACGGGAATGTAAGAAATGAACTTTTAAGCTCATTTTGCATCCTTGAAGCTTCATACGCTGACAACATGCATTGTACAATGGTTTTGTAGTCAGGGTCCTTAGTATTCCCCAAAAACTTATGCACTGCATTCTTAAAAGAGTCCCATGCTTTTTTTTCCTTTTCTCCCATTGTTTCCAAAAAGAAGGGATCAGATAAAGGGGATATTGATTTTTCACTGTGTATTCACCACAAACATAACAGAAGCTGTCGAGAGAAATTACACAACCTCTGCGAGCCATATTCCAGAAATAAAAATACAAGCACAGTAGCGTTCGAATGCTGGATATAAACTGAGTGTGGCATTAGATGGCCAGCAACATACTTATTTAGCTTGTTGAAACATGATCTAATCCAACAGCA